ACATGGACTTCTTCCCAAACTGAGACAAATGTGTATCAGTGCCATCTGCTGACTTTGACCAATATTGCTCCAAAGTTTGAATAGTTAGGGGAGAAACCATTTGGTGATACAAATTTTCACAGGTTTCAAAAGTGGACATTAAATAAAGTTATGCAGAATGTATACATGTAAATTTGAAATGTTCAGAAGAAATTATCACTCCAGAAAAATTAAAGAAGCCTTCTAATAGGATACACTTCTTGGTGTAAACTGTGACTGAGTTTTGAATAATCAATGTGTTTTCACTGACTAGCTGGAGAACACCTCCCCCCCCCCCCCCCACTTCCCCCCAAAAATGAAACAAGGAGCTAACAGAGTCTATGATACTTTGCTTCTCCTGGAATGAAACTCACTAGAAGTAATAGTTTCAAATGGTAAGTTCCTTCAGAGGAATCTCAGAGCCCAGTAAACAACAACCAAACTAATTCTCAGCTTCCATAAAATTTCCTGAAATTTTAAGTCTGAAGAGAGCTAATGGTATCTCTCTGAAAATATGGAGGAAGGAGGAAGTAAATTCTGCTTTCTAAAATACTATATATCTTTTTCAGTATTTTTAGAGCTTCTTGAATTTGTTTGTTCATATGGCTATACATGAAAACCTCTAAAGAGTCATTAAAACAAAAGGAAAATAGGACTAATCTATCTCCATTGAGTTCCTGGTATGTCCCTTAATGCTTTCATGGCTACCCTGGTTTGTAAGTGAGTGTATTGTAGGGACAAAAACAAACAAAAATGGGGAAATGAGGATATTAAGAATGGAAAAGAATGAGTCCTTACAGTGAACAGTTAGATTTTAATGAAACTTTCAAGGAAGATAACTGCTGCCACTTTAAAAGTGACTTCTGCCAGGCTGCCTTTTGACTGCATAAGCACATTGCACAGTGTTGTTACTGCTGGATAGCAATAGAAAATTTCTAATGGGATATTGAAATAGAAAGTTTCTAATAAAAATAAACGCTAGCATTCCCAAGCACTACTAAGAAAAAAAAAAAAAAAGGAAAGCAGTGCTTTGCTTTTTCAGCTAGGAAGAGATATGGAAAAAAAGTGCAGTGAAGTCTAGAAAAAGAATGTCCTGAGAAGCAGGACTGACAATGAGCTTTTGACTTACTGCCCAGAGCTGTGACTCTGTCTTTCCTGTTGCTTGGCAACTCCATGTTATCACAAAGAAACTGATATTAAGTTGGAACAGGCTGGATATGGTAATTTACGTGGGAAGATACTCTTGCAGTGGGAAAACCATTTTATTTCTAGTTTCTGTCAACATAAGTAGGCTTCACATGATGAACTGTAGTACATCCCCTGTTGGGTGCATTTTACCTAAAAAGGTAAAGAGTGACTCTGCCTTGGAAAGTGACTGTGCAGAAAAAAACAGAAAACCAACAAACCCCACCACCTTGTTATTCATTAGACCTGCTCCCAGTGTCTAGTCAGACATTTCTTCCAACAGCAGTAACGAAAGCTTGTTTTCATACCTGTGTGGATCCACTGCAGATTAGAGAGATAGAACTCAATCATTATCCACAGTCTGTAAGAGCTGTCGGGATTTGCCCAAGACGTCACTGTCTTATATAAACATTAAAAGGTGATCCTCACTTTATTTGAATAGCCCTGTTCTTCCTTTCACATTCGCAACAGTTAAGTGCTAAGTTTCAGTTGCACTTTATTTCTTTCCTGCTGAAAGAAGAGGCTGCACATGTAGCAGTTACAGGGTAATTTGAAGACCATGATAGAAACTGTCATTCAACTTTGAATTTGGCTGGGGCTGTATGGCTGGGAAAAGACTCAATTTTGATTGAGGTATATGGAGAGAATGGAAAAGAAAGAATTATGCAGAGCAAATTTGATTATGAAAGCTTTGAGCCACAAAAGATGTGTAATCCATAATGGTGTTTTTATATTTTAGTTTAGGTATAAGATTTAATTAAAAAGGGAGAAAACCCAGAAGACTCAGGGTTTAATGCAAAGCCCTTTTTCTTAAATGTCTGGTTTACTCATAGCTCTACTGAAACCACCACCCCTGTCTTTCTGCATTTCCATCCTGCATCACTTCTAGTATTTTAACACCAACGTGTAGGCCTGTAAGTAAGGAAGTACTTTACGTGTCTTCAGGACTCCCTGTTCTGGCTTTGGTCAGCAAAACATTCCCTGCCTCCAGGCTTTTCTCTGCTGCAGAGCTAACTTAAAATATAACTCAACTTTTGCCCTTGGCTCAAATCCCAACCATACACACTCTGACTTGAGTATGTTGATGCTGTTCAGCTGAAAGTATTGGTCTGGACTGTCAGAAGGCACAGGCAGCAGCTTCAATTGCATAGCTAATACAGCTACCCACTCCTGCTCCAAGGGCTTGCCTTCATTGCCAAAAAAGGTGCATTTTTACTGTGAGGTAATTAGTCTGAATTCACTATCCTTATTTAAAATCAAACCCTCGATCTCTTTCCTTACAGTGAAGACATTGCTTCCCTATTAAATCAGAGCATCCCCTTTTGCTGAAGCAAAGCTGATGAGGAATGAACTCTGCAATGAAAACAACCCACAGTGTGCTAGACACCAAATAGACCCAGATACTGCAAGCAAAGTCCTTTCCTAAACGGGCTCATGGCGGGGAGGTAGCTCCCTTCGTTGCTCATTTTCCATTTGGCCAGCACAGAACCTATCAGCTTGCATCTGATTTACCAAACTAATGAGTTTGTCTCCTTTTTAATTTACCACATCACCTCCAATAAATCTAGAAATGCTCTTGGCTGTTATCTGACTTGCAGGGGAATAATTATTGGACTGACTCCAGCAGCAAGCCTGGCTTAATTAAAACACAGAGTATTTCCCAAAAAGGTAGTGACCAATATCGCTCCGAGTGCAACCTAAACCAATTTCACAACAGACTGGAACAGATGAACTTTGCTTTACCCCAAAGCTTTCCGTACTTTTAAACTGAGTTCCTCTGATGAATCATGAAGAACAGATTTCCTACACCCCCTTACCACTAGCAGCTAGTGGCTAACTTTATCCATCTTAACTATTGTCTTCCAAGCAAATTGCTAGCACATACCACCTATTTCTTAAGCCTTGGCATCAGGGTAACATAAATCTTGCGGTTTCCATATCTTATAGTCATTGCAATTGTTAATGCCTGCTGTAGAGTGTTTTCTATGCCAAGTAGCAGCATCCTCTGGCTTGTGTAGCAAGCTAGTTTTTGCTACAGCAAAGCTATAGCAACTCCTCAGTATGGCAAAAAAAATACCTCTATATTTCCCCTCATCTAGGGTTGGTTTGGTTTTTCTTTTTAGATTGAAAGTATTCTTTAAACAGTTTGGCCACTATGACTTTTATTAAGTAAAAAAAACCCAAAACCTACTTCTTGTAGCACCTGCATTTTCTGTATGCAATGATTCTCACTGGTGAGGAAAAATTGCTGCTATGTTTTTTATTCTTGAATTCTGATGAGCACAGAACAAATAATTGTACAAATGTGACAGGCAAGGACTAGGGAGGAGTATGTACCCAGCACCTTTCAGGGGTACACTAACCAAGGGAGGGAGCAAAGCTCTGGGGAGAGATGCTGTGTACACAAACCAAGGCAAGAGATCCCTCTCATTGCGGCCGAGCTCTCCAAGAGCATTGCTGGGATCCATGAGCAGTTGCTAGGACTAGAGAACTGCTGAAAACCATCATTCCCATCTCACCCGCCATGCCCATTAGCACCTGCAATTAGTTTTACCTAGTCATAGTCTCAGAGGGTTTTTAAAGGAGGATGGGAGTAAGAAGAAAAGTTTAAACATCTTTTTGTTTCCAGCACTACACAAGTACTCATATAAGACTGGATGACTCAAAGGGTCAGATGCATAGCTTGCCACCTCCAAGATTTTTTTTTCACAACTGTTTTGGGTTTGTAATGACTGTAGGACTGAATTTGATCAACCCACCCCCCGGACTGAGAAGCACTCTTACTGGCTTATATTAATTTTATGAAGTTAACCCTCTTAAGTAATTTCTATAGTTATGACTTCTTGTTGACTTGCAAAGATTGGTCAGAAATTAATTGAAAGGCAAGTTAAAATAAGACATAATAACAGTAACTCAACTTTATTTTTGTTTGTGGTAGTGATATCAACTGAAAATACAGATGATCTCCTTAGGTTATGGTTCTAGAACATGCGGAATTACAAGGAGTCTGTGTTTTCCTCAGGGTACAGAAGAACCACAGAAACTGTAGGTGAATAAATAGGAATGTTAAGCCAAGGTGCAAAAGTGATTTTATATACCTAGGATGCAAAATTAATTTAGAGGCTGGAGAGCCAAAAGATATGGGAGTGGGAAGGCAGCACAATTGAATTTTGGGTACTAAAACACCAGCAAACCAAAATCCAGCAGAGCAGACGAATCTTCTAAATGTTAAATCAAAAAAACCCCACAAACAAAAATATCAGCAGAAACCTTTGCCCCCTCCAGTAACACTGAGTATGATTCATGGCTTTGTGAATTTTGAAGGGTGGTGGTACAAAAATTGTTCTATCTACTACTGACAGATGGTAGGTTTCTTGCTTTAAAAATATGAAAACAGCTTGATCTCATGTACCTTGGTTTAAAAATAAAGCTCTTTTTATAGCACGTCTCGATTTTGACAACCATACTGTGCAGTAAATATTGGATTCCATGTATGAGCACATTTTAAAAGCCTAAACCAGACTCTTATTTTAGGGGTAGGCTAATCCTGTGAATTTATAGTCCTCAAAAAGAGGGCTCGCAGCTGAATGTAATGGCTCTTTGTGTTGTGGTTGTGGGTTCAGCTTTGAATTTAAAAATGCATTTTCTGGTCTGGTAGCTTTCTGAAGTTTATTTAATTTCACAGATGTGTAAATACTAAGTTATCCATCTTTTTGTGATGGTAAGCCTGGAATAAATCTGCAGGAGTGAAATGCAACTGAATCTATAAGTAAAATTGTTTCTTCTTCATATTGCAGAGCACAGATAACTCAAATATATCTATAATTGCTCAGAACAAAAAGTGCTTTGACAATGATATTGTTTGCTCAAAGAATGTTTTCATCACGGTTGGAGACACTGAGATTTATTTTAGTGAACTTTCTGAGAAGCAGGTTAGTTATTTTCTTTTCTTTTCAGGTTGCCCTTTAAGATAAGCATTCTAAAGTTACAACTCTGAAGGAGTGTGTTTCTGGAAAAAGTCTCTCAGTCTGTGTTAACATAATGCAAGTGCCTAGGCCTGGATAAAGCAGCAGGTCCCAGGAAAAAAATCTCCTTTTACACTGTTCTTTTTTTCGAGTTCTATTTGTCCTCACAAAGAAGACTGCTCAAGAGGCTCAAGCAATCAAAGCATACTGGAACTTATGTAGTTCTTTCCACTTGGTTTTGAAAGGGAAACCAAAACAAAAAATTAAAGCCAACTTGAATGATTGAAAAGACATAATATCAAATTATTAAATGACATTTCTAGTAATATTATTGATTCAGCTATATGATAAAGATAAAATATTATTCAGTATGCACTTTATTATTAATCGGCTGCATACTTAGTAGAATTACTTTATTAGATCTTAATAAATATTCATTTTTGTCAGAAGACCTTAAGGGGAAAGGAAAACAAATCTAACTATCAGCTTTGGAAGGCTGGATATTATACTGTGATACACTTTCCAGATCAAGATATTACGATTCTGTGGGATAAGAAGACAATGATGCATATTAAAGTTGGACCTCGATGGAAGGTGAGCCCAAATAAAAATCTGAGATTTGTGTAGCTCTCTGTGTTGGCAATGTGATCTGTTATTGAATAACTGTGATTGATTGTCTTTTCTTCATGACTAACTTTGCCAGTGATATGACTGTTTATCATGGTGTTCAGCTGCTAGCATTTCGTAGGTCAGAATAGGCAGGGAATGTGATTTTACGGTTGGATTTTACTAAAGAGAAGTAGTAGTTCCTTCATGTTTACTCTGTTGTTCCTCACATCACAACCTTGCAGATACACAGTGATTTAGCTCTAGGTTACTTGGAGGGTGGGAAGAGAGGGTTAGTTTTGTGTTACCCAGTTCACTGCATGTTTTCATAATTGCTGAAGCCAATGAAAAAGAACCTTCCGTATCTATCAACATGGAAGATGGCAGGTTTGTAGCACAGATTGAATTAGGCTGATAATGGAGATGTAGTAGAGGCTGCTGAGATGAACAGATGGAGTCATATTTTGGGTTTAAATTAAGAAGGCAAGATGCAAGAAAGGATCTAGACAAGACCTGACATTTAAACCTAATAAGTATACTGTGATAGGGCTCAGCCATTATGCAGGGAAGAATGAAAGGCTCCTTCTCTTACCAGTTGCTCTTCTCTGTTCCATTCCTATATCGTCATCTGCCTTGGTGTCTGGAACTCAGTCTTTGGGTCCTGGCAGAGTAACCTTATCTGCACATTCAATAATTACATTCCTGCTTTGTCTCAACCATGAACACACTTATTGAGAGGGGGCTGTTTCCAGTAAAAGAAAAGGAAGAACTCTATGCTAGAATACAATACCAGATTTTTTGAAGTATAAGTCAAAGTTACAATGATTATCTAATCTGGTTTTAAAGCAAGATTATTACAGGCTTTTGTCCCAGTAACCATCACATGCTTCATGTACAAGCTGATTTATCAGTCATCGATACACGCTGTGAAAAAAAAATTCCTCCTTTTTTGTATGGGCTAGCAGGGAGCTGAGTTCTACAGGTTGCATGCAGCAGCACAAATATTTCAAGCTCTTTCTGTTTCCAATTACTGTTTCTTCCAGAGGCTCCAGTTCAGTAAGATAGTGTCTGCAGCAGACCCTAAGGGAAAATAATTCAATAGAGTGAGCCACAGCACCCTAGAAATCCAATTCTACATTTTACTGTTGTGCACAAATATATTTCCCTATACATGTAGATGTGTACGCATTTATATATAACTTTTCCACCAGCAGTGCATGCCCCAACACAAGAAAGCTGCAGCTGTCTCTTTTGTAACTGCTATTACAAACGTTTTAGTTTAGTTTAGCTAAAATTAGAGGCAGCGAGTTTTAACAACAATAACTAGTCGGGCTTCGCAATCGTGAGGTAATTCACCTGAACTTTTGACTTCTGGACAGCATACACTACTAAGCTTTCAGAAAAAAACATTACTAGATTCCAGTCCCTGTTCACAGGCAGACAGTAAGAACAGGTTCTGGAAAAGGGGAATAAAAAGGAAAACATACATTTCTAGTAAAATAGAAATTTGCAATATGGGAACTGTAAACATAGCAGAGAGTGAGATATTTTCAAAGTATAACTTAGAGTTGCATTCATCTTTTCCAGTTTAAGAACGTTTTATTCCATACATGTAGTTGTACCAATCATTGTCTGTAAGTATATGTAAAAAGAAAAATAATCCTTCTTCTCTTTTAGGGTAAACTGGCAGGTTTGTGTGGGAATTTTGACAAATATACTTCAAATGATCTGACTACCTCAAACAACATGGAGGTGAGAAATGCACAGGTGTTTGGAGACAGCTGGGTATTAGGACAGGTAAGTCCCATGTTCAGGAAAATGCTAGCAAAACAGGATGATATTTTTAATTCATAAATGAACACATGATAAGCACATGATGTACAGGGTCAGTGTATAAGAGCACATTTTAATTTTTATGTCTGTAGATGTGAAATGTGTGATTAATGTCTTACATCATAGTAAACACATACTGAATTTAAATGAAACCAAACAATCTCTTTAGGGAAGAAAATATTTTTCCCTATGTCATATAATGATCACAGCTGTCTGGATTTCAATTCTGTACAAAGTTTGATACGTTGCTTCTGATGTTTTGGATGCAATTTTAAAAGCAATTGTAATCTCTCTGGTGTTGGAGGCATCAGGACACTGAAAGTAGAAAGAGTCTGGAAAAACTTTTCTTTCTCAACACTGAAAAAAGAATTGATTATTTTTAGTTGCAGTTTGTAAACAGAGAATTAACTGATGAAGCAGCAGTGGTGAAGGGGTGAGACAGAAAGCGCTCAGAACAACAACAGGCACAATCAAGTATGGAAACTTGGTTTCCAAGGAGAAGGGAAGAAGCTATAGAGTGGATGACTGCAACTGTGTTTTGCAACACAGGAGAATAAGTATTTTATTAATTTGTGCTGAGATGTGAGGTTTTATAGCCTTATAAACCTCCTGAAAAATCAGTATTTGTAAAGCACTCCCTTAGGGTGTCTGTGAGAACCAGTTTTTAGTCTTTCCTTAACTCACAGCAGGAAACTGAACCAAAATCTCTCGCCTCATGAAAGAATATGATACTTATTCTAATTTGGAGTAAACGTTTTGAGGCTTCTCTCCCTCAATATCTCCCTTTAGATCTATTTTACTCTACATAATCTGTTTAGATTGGGTGAGCAAGCAAGGCCAGTGTGTAGTGGTGGTGGTTATACTGCTCATCTAGAAGGTGGTACATAAAGGAAAGTATAAAGGCTTTGAATAAATTATATGAATTTTTCTTTCCAATTTGTCAGTTCAGTGGCTGCTTTAAAAAGGTGTGTAGTGTTTACATAGCACATTAACTTCTAGGATGTTATGACCTATGCTTATGCAGCCCAAACTTGCACTTGCCTTTTTTTTAGCTATATATATATATTTATTTGTAAAATCTCATATCATCTTTTGATCTCTGTGGCTGTCAGAGCACTCAGTATTTGAGTTTGATATTGGCCTTGAAGGCAGCCTACGTTCAGCCAGACTTGACACTTCATCTATCTCTGCAGTAGGAATTAAAGATATTTTCAGAAAGGACCTTTGACCTTCTTAGAGATGGATCCTGGTCATATTTTCTGCAAAATCTAAGTACTTCAAATGTGTATTTGATAGCTGGAGGCTTAGAAGCCTACTTTGCTATTGGTAAGCTTGCATTGGCACCATGAAGCATGGGATGCTTCCAGGGTTTTTCCCTCCTGGGAGTGGCAGTATGTCCCCCCATGGCAAAGGATCCACACATGAAGGTAGCTCAGGCAGCTGCACTGCAGCTGAGGCTGCATCAGAACACCCCAATGCTGCTTATGGATCCATCATTAGCTTCTCCTGGTTTCCCTGCTGCACCAAGAGAGTATGGTTTTGGATGAGCTCGTGTTTTCTGAGCTGTCATTTTGTTGCATTTTTTCTGTCCACTAGTTTTTCTTGTTGAAGAGAGGGAGCTGTAACTCAGTCATTTTTGAGTTATCATGATGATCTTTGATTCTATCTTTTTTTTTTTTTTATGGGTTGCTCTCTTCCTACCACTGTTTCTTTATTTGAACTTACAGGGCTAAAGCCATCTGTAGTGTGGCTCCATTTAAAGTCAGTGCAAAACCACCAGGGATGGATTTGGATCATGTATTTGTTTGCAATGTTACAGTTGGTTGCTCTGGTAATGATTATAATGTGTCACAAAGAAAACATTTTGTCTTTATGTGCTGAGCAGACAACAGGAACATTTCAGTACTTCAGAACAAAACACAAAGATTCTTTTTTTGTGCAAATGTTTTCAGTTATAACAGCAAATTCGGAAAAAGGGGAGATGAAATAGATAGAATTTAAGCTTTATTTTGATTTTATGAGTATCCAGGTATTGAATTATGTGATTACAGCGTGCCTGAGTCCATGGTAAACACACCTTTGTATAAAATGCTTGTGGTGTTTTTGTTGTTTTTAAGTGCAAGAGCCCAAATGAAACATTAAGGCCATGTGAGGTACATCAGAGCAAGTTCCCTTATGCCAAAAAGGAATGCTCAATTTTATACAGCGATGTTTTTGCACCTTGTCGCAATGTGGTAAGTTTATTAAATATCCAAGATGTGCTTTCCTGTAGGAAAACATTAAAATTCCAGTAATTAATTTCTTCTTGCTATTCCTATTAGTCCACATGCCATGGAGGATACAGAGTAGAGCCCTGCAAGTATCTCTTTGTGGGTGGGCTATTTTTGTGCAGAGCTCCTTGCTCCTTTCAAGGCTGGAGCCTAAACATGCTAGTGATAACTGAGAGCCATGAGTTAGCAGACTGGATAATGAAGTTTCTGTTCTCTTTAGGTTTTATTTATATCTTTTATTTATAGAGGTAATTACATTTTTAATTTTTTTGTATATATTGCAGGATTCTAAAATAAACGTTTGTGTGATGTGCCTACAGCTTATCTCAAATGAGTTTATTTTGTTAACTGTCCTGCTCAATATGGAAAGAAATATGAGCGACCAAGATTTCAGCTTCAGAGCTATCAGTATTTTTAATTGGCTGACAGCTTATAATCTGTTTTTTTATCAAAACTCTGAGGTTTGGTGTCCTTATTTTCCCAGTACCTGGCAGAGCTCGGGGCTTCAGTTACAAGAATGTCCTTAATTTCAGTCTAGCAAATAGCTTGTGTAGGAATTTTTGATTCCATTTTAGTCCACCTTTTATCAGCACAATACCCTATGCATTTTTCCCAATATCTGATTTTAGCCTCTAGTTATTGAAGTTGCTTCTTCACACCTGTGCAAGCAAGAACCACTATGACATTTTGTATTGGTCTCTTATTTTGTTTATGACAATTAATACTAAATGAGATTATTAGATGTCCCAGCTGAACCTCCTGACTTTCAGGACTGAAGTTTGATATCAACATGGTTAGGAATTTGACGGAGGAGGAGGTTGCAGTAGCTTAAAACAAGAGATTTATTAATGTTGACTTTAGTTACTATGTAAAGAATTTTTTGAGCATGTGCCTGAGAACATGGTGATGAGGGTATTTTTGAAATGGAAAGTAATAAATAAAATGGAACTTTTGAGAGTTTTTAAGGAACTGCATTATTATAACCCATAAAGAAAGATGTTTTCTCTTGAACATTCATTTTCTATATCTTATCCATGTTGTGATTAAAATTTGTAAACATTATGACAAAAATTTAGCATAATTACATTAAAAAAGTAAAGGTAAAGTGACCCCTATTAAGGATGTCTGCAGCTGACTGGTGGCAGCATGGCTAGGGAACTGGCTGCCAAGAAAAAAGCCCAGTGACTGACACTGGGGGCATGGAAAGAAAAGAAAGTGTAGATGTGGGTTTCAGGATGTTCTTTGGAACAGCTCTCCTACACTCACTCCTGCTGTGTGAGTGGTGGAGGATCCTGCTGTCCGTGGAGCTCAGCGGAGGCTGGAACCTCCCATTTTCAGGGAAACAAAACATTGCATCTCTGGCTGGGAGTGACTGATGGGCTGCGATTGCCCAGCTGAGCACTGAACTCATCAGGGTTGAGGACCCTCAACACTTGCAGAAAAGAAAGTCTTCCTCATAACTCCTCAGCTCAGCAGGAGCTTTGACCCGAGGACCCCAGTTTGTCCCGGCTGCAGGATCTTGCCAACCCATGGGGAGATGCTGTCCTGCAGACATGAGACAGGTCTTTGGATCCAGTCTGCTGTTTGGTGGTTCCTGCAAAGCTATTAGAGCCATTTTCTATAGAGCCAACGCTCATGCCCCCACACGAGTGCTGTCCTTGTTTTCGAAATGAGGAAAAGAATGAAAGCAAAATGGCGTCTCTCTCCAGTGAAAGCAGAAAACCAGTTTTCATGTCCCTGACAGCTTCTAGCAACTGCCAGCTGACAAGCTGTCTCCGTGTTAGATAAGCGCTGCTTTGTTTCTGTGATGGTATTTCTGTAATCTGACGTGTACCATTTGAGGGCTCTACAACTGAGCTAGCCCAGAGTCTAAACTGAAGAAAAGCATTGCTTTAAACATTGCATGTGTTGAGTAGTAAGAACACTGTTTTGGAAACATTGCTTAACCTTACAAAAAAGAAATAGTGTACCATGTGAAAACACAAACTAATGTGATAGCATTTTAGAGTGAGATATGGGTTTTTGATCTAATGAAATTTGTGGACAAAGTATATTAAAACCTTTATAAGCGCAGGAAAATTTTTCTGCAAATGAACACTCGACCTTTCTTTCACTAATCAAAACTCCCTTTACAAATTATTACTTTAATTACTTTATAATCAGAGCTGCATCTCTCTGCAGACTGTTGCTTGTGCAAAACTGGCAGGATAACTGTAGATGGCAGTATTTGCCTTATAAAAACAGAACTGCCAGCTTCGATATACACTCCAGACCTGATGAACAGGAATTGTGTGGACAGACATGTTAAGTCACTGACTGAAATTTTCTCTTGGCCTGTAACATACGTACAAACTGATCATTCAAAGTGTACTTTTTGTTTAGGAATGTACCCAAACCTTAGAAAATACCATATTTTTGTGTTAAATCCTTTCACTTCATCCAGAGATAGCACTTCTGCTGTAAATGGTGCAACAGGAATTTGTACATACAGCTCATGCAATTCAGTCTCCAACCCTCTTTTTCTTCTATTTATTTATTTTTCCCCAGATTGATGTGACTTCTTTTGTCAAAAATTGTCACACAGATACGTGCAACTGCAATCTTGGTGGGGACTGCGAGTGCTTGTGTACCAGTATTGCAGCTTATGCTCACAAGTGCTGCCAGCAAGGAGCACCGATTCACTGGCGATCTCCTTCCCTCTGTGGTATGTACCTGGGCTGGCCTCACACTGGAGCTCATCTTTGAGGCTTCTTTGGCCTTTTTCTGCCCAATAATACAAATATGACAGAATCAGGTGCATAATAAGTGCCCTTCTTCACCATTTTCAAGCTGTCTCTGTGTTAGCTCTTAGTGTTATACACTCAAATTTGCTGTATCACTGAAGAGGACTGTCTGGGCTCAGGGTGTGCCAGTGCAGAGAGTGTTGGAAAGGCAGTGGTATACCAGATCTGGGGTGCGTCCAGTGTTCTGTGTAGGGCTGCAAAGAGCTTCACTCCATTCTCCTTTTCACAGATGGTGAAAAGCAGAAGAATTCATGCTGTCAGCTGTATATTAATTCATGCTTAAGGTCTGCTGTCCTGGCACATCTATTTTAATACAGCTGTGTGTCTCTAAATAAATGCCTAAGGAAATAAAGTCACTCACTGAAACTCCCTCTGATGAAAGTGAACTTTACATTTTTAGAATGCAGATATGCATAGATTCCGATGTTACTTTGTAATAGTAATGTGCTTGTTTTCATTTCTTTTAGCTTATGACTGTGATTATTACAATCAAGGTATGTAGCATTTGATATTACTATCTTTGATTCATCCTCATATTTATATATGTTGCTGAATCTACTTTTCAGGTTTTCTATTCTAACATCTTTCTTTCTGTATGATGCTATTTTGAGATGTTAATCTCTCCCCTCCTCACTTATTTTCTCTTTCAAAACCAAATACCCAGGACACACTTTTCTTACATTGGTTCACTCAGACTAACTGTGGACGAAAATATAGTTTGATAATTTCTCTCTTTCCCAGGTTAGACTGTGAGTTTTTGCACTCCTAATTTGGCTATGTGTGGGTATTAGCGAGCTCAGCAAGTTAGCAAAACAAGTCCCCATGGGCCTTTTTGCTCTGTGTGCAGGGATGGTGGTGGCATGGAAACAAACATAGTTGTAAGCAAAGCAGCACATCTGGCATCTCAGATGAAATATGGTACAATGAACCATGCATATAAAACTCTTAGCAGCTTGTGCTGAGAATCGCTGTCAGTTGCAGCAGTGCTGGAGGTTCTCTTTTTTACCGTTCTCCCCATTCCCTAGGGTAGGATTGCATAGTCACAATACCTTGAACTGACTGGACCTTCAAGTCCATTAAAAAGGAGAGGTGACTTGTATGAGCAGCCTGGAGTATTATATGTCATTTTGCAACATACGCCTTCTCTATTTAACCTCATTATATCATTATGTCACTTTTTCTTTCCTCCTGTTCTGCTATGGATATCTAAAAGACTGGGTTTTGTTCTGCGTGATATCTCATGTATTACTTGAGATTTGTCCTATATAAACATACACAGTCCTGCATTAGTAAGGAATTCAAATACTGATGCACTAGTGTGCATCTTAGAAGTTTACACATGGTTATTAACATTTGAATTTTCACCTCACTGAACTAACTGCCTTTGGCACAGGGAAACTCAAGTGCTTTTATCCAGAAATGAATGGTGTGGATATAATGCATCTCTGATGAAACTGAGTTAATCAGAGTTACATAAATAATAATGATAATTAATTTGGTATAATTTTAGGGGTAAAAATAAAAAACCCTCACAAATTTATGAATGTTTGTCACACTATGCAATTATTTTCTAGGTTTTCATTCTGATGTGGCTTGCTTTGTTTTAGTTTTTCTTCTTTGTTATTGTATAAAAGACGTTGCTCTGATTCAATTAAAACCTCAGTTGAATTAATTGATGGGCTTTTTCTTTGAGTTGGTGTATGTAGTTTTAAAATTGCTTCTATTTTTAATGAGTAAAGGTCAGTGGCCCTGCTGTGTTGAACAATCTTAGTAATCCCTAATGTCTCAATTAATAACCTCATCATATTCAATGTGGGGGTGCATAAATGCACCCTGCAGCACATCTTGCAGCCAAGGAGAAGCAATAGAAGGATGTTACCTTGCATTTCTACTGTAAATTTAAAAACTGAGATCTATTCTATTTTAAAATTGAAAGGTTACAGGTTTTTATGCACAAGTCTCACAAGTATTGTACTATAGAGGACAGTTCTTTAGAATGAGGAATTCTTAATTCTTATAGCATCCCCACTTATATTAGGATAATATGCATGTGCTTTGTGTGGAGCAAGATATTGAAAAGCAAAGGAAACGACTAAATGCAATGAAATAAATACTTTTGATACGTTTTTTTTAGTGGCTTGCATCCTATAATGATCATCATACAAGGAGGATATTTTTCTCCTCCAAGGAGTCTGGCTCAGTACAGTAGCAGCATGTAGATGTCAGTGGGCAGCTGTGTGGTGCTTAATCGCCTACCACAGTTAAGGTCAAGGATGGTGTTATGCATGTTTCTACCACAAAGTGCCAGCAAAACACCTTTTGGGACTGGGATGGCTTCTGTGATTCTCTTTTGTTCTGCATGACTTCAGACTGTTAATCTTTAAGGAAACTCCTGCTTTTGTTCAAGTCCTAGGCAAAATGTCTGTTAATATGTAGGGATAAACATTCAATGACAGAATAAAGGGTCTTTTTGAGGTAAATTTTCTTGCCATTTCTTTATAAGTGGCAAGCTTGTGGGCTTTATGAGCTCCAACATAGCTTTCATATAAAAACAGTAGTTATTTTCAAGCAGCTTTGTTTAGAATTCAGTGTTTAGCTTCTAGCTGAGGCAAATCTCATTATTATGAGAATTCCTTCTCTCTTGGAAGATTCATGCTTGAAAGGAGCTGTCTTAGGCTGGGAAAGGGTTCAGTCTTTTCACTGTAATGATTAAAAGCTTTTACAAAATCTACACATTTTGTTTATAACTCACAAAGTAAGATTTTAGAAGTATGCTGCTCTTGGTTCTTTCAGTGGGATATAGTGACAAAGATGGATGCTGTTATATCTGGGCGTATCCCTTCCAGCCTAGCAGAAATAGCTCCAGAGGTTTGCTGCAGGGCATGGTTAGGCCAGCACTGTTTTGGCAGCAGCACCAGCTGAGGCTGTTGTCACTTTTCTATTGGCATGAGCTTTTGAATAACGGTGTGGTGAACCAGACTGGAAAAATTAGCTGGTTGCTTTTCAGCTGGATCACTTCACTGCTGAAGCACTTAGGAGGGCATAATAAATGGGGCAGTAGGGGGGCAGAAGCAAGTGGTTTGTGGGAGAGGATGAACTAGGCAACTGCTTAAGCAATATTGTGCCAGAAGTTGAATATAATTTGAAATCTGTTTTTTGCAGGGAGAAATTGGCTTGTAGATCTTAGAGCAGCTTCAGTGTCTATGTGGGAAATAATATTAAAGTTGCTCTGTTGAATTCAGATTCTTTCAAATTATAGAAATAAGGACATGTAAAAGACTAAACACCATAAAAAAGCAGCCCAGGTTGCTTTCTTGTACAGGTCATTTTGTGAGCACAGCTGCCCACAGTTCTTTGTGCTCATTTTGTATCTGCTGTATTCTGGGCAGTGAGCAAAGAATAAGGGGGTATGTTGAACAGATAGATACAGACCTACACTAGTGTAATAACTTGAGGCATTGAGCTGTAATTCCAATGTATTTAAGACAACATATTATGTTAACTCAGATTTTGTATATTATGCAAGGAGGATTTTTCTTTTTCTATTTTGATTTTTCTCCCCTTAGGTCTTGGTGAAGGACCCTATATTTTGGCAAGTTACGGACAGAATGACACAATTATAGGAGCTAATATATCTAGTAGAAGGATATTTCCCCTGCCTAGAGCTGGAGCATATGGAAATGTATTTTTCAGCTTCATGATAACTCCAGGGCTTTTCAAAGATAAAGATTTATGTAAGTGTTCTCAACAATTTTGCTAATGGCAATGCATATTTTTCAAGCTATATGAACAATTTTGGATGATTTTTGTTGAATCTTCTAAAATAGTATAGATATTTTTAGTTATTGGAATAAGTGAGATTGAAGCAGCCAATTTCAAAACTGAGGAATACTGGGGTTCTTTAATTAAAAAATAAACTGGTAAACCTCACTGCCAGCTTTAAAGCTGACTTTTCAAGGTTTTTTTAAGAAATATTGCAAAATACAAGTAATTAGAATTCCTTCTTGGAAAAAAACAAACAAACAAAAATTAGTTTGGATAACTGGAAAATGGAAAATTTTGCACATGTATCTCGCCAGTATCAAAACTGAAGATAAATGCAGGATATTTTCATCTCCAGTAATATTACTTCTACTTTATCTTTTCTTCTTTTTTGCAACTTTCAGTGGACTATAAAATATGCAACTTAGAACAACCAATTTGTTGAAAAAAAATCCTAAACCCTGAAAAATCAAGATAGAGAAGTCCTATCTTGGTAAAAATTGAAACTATATTTACAAACAGTTGAGAAATTAGGGTTTTATATATGATTTATGAATGAGAAAGTACATAAAACAGAAGAATTAATTGTCTTGTCAATTCCCCAACTGATGTAAAGTGGAAGTAAAACATTCATTATGTCTGTGCAGCACACAGGTAGCCTTTATATCTGTGAGGAGTTAGATAGTATCGATCTACATTAAAGACACTTCAAGATTTTATTCAAGTTGAAAACCAAATATGAAGTCAGTCTTCTAAGTTCTTATTTTCAGAGAATTTTCTTCACTTTTGATTTCCAGCATGCATAGAGCAAATAGAGGGTTGAGCCTTTTCTTAGGCCACAGGTTTTCTTACTGTATTGCTGGATATAACCATATGTAAAACAAGCTTGGCCTCAAGGTGAAGTCAAGCACCTTCTTACAAAATTTGCATGGTGTTACTTACTAATGAAAACTCGGTACAGCTGAACTGTTAAGTATTAGTCCTAATTCGAGAAAAGCCTCCCAATTTGAGCTAGTCCCAGTTTCAGACTGCTTATGAATAATTTCAAAGGCTGGTAGCAGTAGACAATATAGTTTTGATCTAACTGATTGGCTTTCTGCTGATTTCTGATTATGTGATCATTTGAAGTCTCCTTTAGACCCTGCATTTCTAAACTTGTTTTTTGTTTATTACATAAACCTGAAATATTTTCCTGTGAAAACCAGCTGTTTAAAAAGGAACCACTTAACAGACAATATATAGATTTTAATCTCACTTTCAAGTTTTTTTTCTGTGAAAATTTTACTATTCTTTTTATTTCCTTTTCTTTTGTGGAAGCTCTCTCTCTCGTTTCCCTTGAATCTGCTGAAAGACCAAACTACTTTCTGTATGTACATGACAATGAAACCGCTGGGTTGGAGCAGTGGCAGGCAAGTGACTCCTTTCAGAGACGAGCCACCTTCTTCCACCACCAGGGCCTCTGGAGTCCAGGGCTCAGCGCCTTTGAACTGCACAGTAAAAAAGGCTTTTTCATCATTCTCACCTCATCTGGTGTTAAAGTGGCAAAGTATGATGATTCAGAAGAATTCAAACGTTTGAGTAGCTTTAGTATTGAAGGTAAATTTTGCATTTTGCAGTACCTTCACTATGTTTAACTGATTTTGAAGGCTTTACACACAATATATTGTAAAAGTGAGTAGCTGTTTGTAACTTGAAACTTGATGTTTCAGTGTCTTTTAGCTTGACTGAATATAAAAGACGAAACTGATAATGACCAAAATCTCACATATTCATAAGTTCTCAAGAATTTCTCTAATTTTTTATTTTTTTCTGAAAACTCCATTGTACAGTATAAAAAAGACTATAAATTTACTGTTTATTGACTACATAATAAAAAAATAATACCTTTTTCTTCTTCCTCAGAACTCCGTGCCTCTGTGCCTTATAGAAGAATGTGTGAGTGGCGATATGAATCTTGTGCTAATCCTTGTGTTAAAACCTGTAGTGATCCTGAAGGAATAGCATGCAAATTCCTTCCTCCGTAAGTAAAATTAAGCTTGTATTGCTACCCTATTGATTTCTGTAACACGCGTTCCATAGGCTTTCTAAGAATGACTGCAGCTGCAATATACATTCGTATTTACTCATCCAGATTTCAGTATCACTCTTGTGAGCAAGTCTCACAAGTCATATGAAAACAATTGTAAAAAACTTCTTGTTTCTCATGCTGTACCTTCCTGTTTACATGTGACCTTTCAACACCAGAACAAGAAAGTCTATAATAGCCCGGGAGATTAGCTTCTGGTAGTGGCTGAGTGGAAATCTATTAAGTTAAATGAAGGCTATATCCTTCTATGGATTGATATTCACATCCTAACCCACGACGCTGTACATGACTACATCTTTCTGGTGTTTATGAGATCAAAACCTGTAGAAATAGTAAGGGTAGACTACGCCCTCTTCTGTAAGAGAAGGGAACTTTATAATAATAGATACTGGCATGATGTGAGGGATTTCACACAGGTGATAACTTGTTATCAGTAATAAGATTTCCTGTCTCCACGGATCTCCCCTGGCACGTCTGGAACCACAACAAACTAAAAAGAAAAATGCCAAGTGCAAAATCTGGTGGAAAAGAAATGATATTTTGCATTTCAGCTGACCTCCCTAGGCATATGCAGTTTATGATTAGGAATATTACTAGTATAACTAACTTTCCCTGTTGGTATTCTTACCTTTTTCCATACGGGCAAACTGGTTGTTAACGTCATGACCTTCTCATTAAAAATTCTCCCCAAATGAAATAGGGACTATATGGACTTGCCTGCACTCTTCCATGCTGAAAATGCACAAGAATGAGACTTTTTATGGAGTCAGTCTAAATATTTTAATGTATCAAATGAACATACCTGGGTAAGACAGCAGTCTTGTCAAGAATTTCTGTGTCCATGGAAAAACCTTTGTGCGTAGGGATCTGAACTTCCTCCTGTTTGTGGAAGCAGAATGGTCCAAAACTATCATGCTTGTCAGTCTATGCAAATAATTGATTATTAACAATTTAGAAATAATTATTAACAATTTAGAAATAGAATTGTGCTCTTCAATGTCTTTTTGACATTACATGCCTCAAATGCTGTGTTCATCACTACAGTGGAACGTTCTCTAAACTCTGATGGAGAAGATATTCAAGTGTTTCATTTTGCCATAGTAAAATAAGTTAAAATTAATCTACCTTTCTCCTGTGGCTTTAGAATTAACCATACACTGTTTTAAAGGGTTGAAGGATGCTTGCCATACTGTCCCAAAAACATGATCCTTGATGAGGTCACACTTAAATGTGTTTATCCAGAAGACTGTAAGTATACTTTATTATATTGGTCTAATCTTATGAATTACTCTAAAGATCCATGGAAAAGTTTTAACCAAATATACATTCTACTTTTTGATAAATACTTTACTATTGAACTTACACTGCATTCTGAGTAGTCTAAAACAAATCTCCTACGTCCAAACAAGCCCTAGATAAAGTTAACTTCTTTAATTTCTCTAATACTGTGTTAAATTTAACCTTCTGTGATGGCGTTATACTAATTGCAACTATATTTGACTATGCACTGTGCTAGTATATCATGTGTGTATAAGACAAAGATCCCAAATGGAGGAAATGCTGTGGTGAAAAGTTCAGACTTTTCAGTTTATAAGCCACCAGTAACAAATTCAGTGCAACTATTTCATAACTTGAATGATAACTTGTGATGACACCACATTATTTGCTTATTCTGGGAAACAGTATTCTTTTAACATAACAATTACATTTAATACTGTCTCCTATTTTATTTTACAAGTTTCAAATTAAATACATTGGTTGATATTTGCTAGTGCAAAGTTACCTCATAGTATGCTATCTTCCAAAGATTTATTTGTTCAAAATGTTTTACTATCTTGCATATACTGAATTCTCAATAGAATTCCCTTGTTGCTTCTATAATTGCTTTGCAAAATCAAGATTGTCACTAATAATAAAAAATTACCTACTTCATTCGCAAACAAAATTAGAAAACCTGAATCAGCTGAGTTTCTCAAAGGCATTAGACAACCTAGAACCACTGGCAAGTTACCTTCTTAGCAAAATGGTGCTCTAATTTGTTAACGTTTAAATGGGACTTGAGTAGAGATAGATGTTGCTATTCTGCTTTACCAATAATCTATGAAAGACATTGGAACATGCTTTTTTTTTTCCTTTTAGGCATACCTTTGGCACCTACAGAATCAGCAATTGGAACAAAACCTTCATTGCTAATCTCTCACACGGGTACTACCACAGAGTGTTCTCAGACACCTCCTTTATTTGTTACTTCAGGGACTAAGTCAACCCATGCTGATGTGACAGGCAAAATAACCATGAAAGCAAACACAGCTTTAAGGGGAATGAATACGTCGGCACAGCCCGTCACAGACGCTTATTCATTGGAAGCATCTAATGCAGCCATCTATTCAATGTTTTCATTATCAAGTACAGTGGAGCCTTTCGATGTACTTCACAGCACAGCCAGCCCTACTGTCCTTTCCACACTCACCTCTCCAATAGATTTTCCAGCAACTCTTCAAGCCTCAGCAGTCACATCACGTAGTGTCATTTCTGCTGAATCTATAACTTTATCCATTACAATAGCAAGTCCAACAACCCCACTCAGTGCAAGTCCTTTTACAACACATTATGTGTTATTGACACCTACTCCCCTAGTTGTAGTTGCATTTCCACCTGAAACATCAACCACTCAGCTAGAAACTGTTCCCCCCTACCTCATTATTAACATCTTTAACCTCCAAGCCATCTTTTGTCACTTCTGAGCTACCTCCAGGGATTGGGAAGAGTAGGATTCCTTCAGTAAATCATTCTAAGGGAGCAGCAGTACCCTCTGAAGTGCCTTTTACTGTTTTGCTGGCTGACAGAGCAACTTTCACAAGACATGTATTTCTTCTAGGTTCACAGCTGCCACTAAGCACATCTACTATATCTCCTATATCTACTTTGTCTGTTAGAACTAGGTCTGGCACTGGTCAAACTGCAGTTCACCTAACACGCGTTTCTGTACTGAATTCAGCCTCTCCCCAGATTCTGACTACTAGATTTGCTAACTTTGAAACAGGTTTTTCTCAATTAGCTACTGTTTCATATTTTGAAATAGCAAAACCCTTGTCTAAAACTTCTCTGATATCATTAAATGCAAGTTCTTTAGCTAGTTTTTCTCCAAAGCCATTTTTATCTTTAGTGGAAATTTCAGTTCTCAAGCAGGTATCTCCTTTAATAAAAGGCAGCATTTCTTCTACTTTCCCCATAGTGGCTGTATCCTCACCTCAAGTTGCTTCTCAAATTCCTATAAATACTTCTTCGGGTCCTTCTGTAACATGCACAGTATCTATAACAGTGTGTTCTCTGATTACCTCCTTGGAACCAAAAACTATGGTGAATGTCACCGTTGCCTCTGAAAGTCTTTACAAAGTACCTTCCTCAGTTTCCACTTTTCCCGTCAATCCGATAAACCCTGATATGTCTATAGCAAGTAAAGCCTCAGCAGAAGGAAAATACATAATGCACACTGATCCCTTTTCAGCATCATCCATTTCTAAAAAAGCTAATGAAATCGATTATGTCTACAGTCTTCCCTCTTAGGACACTGGTATTACCTCTAAATGCTACATTAATAACCGCTTCAGAAGTAACAGATTACCCAAGCTGTTCACAGACAGACATGAAAACTGACGTTGTGGTACAAAGTTCAGGCGATTTCATTCCTAAAGATCCTTCTTTTACAAGGTCATCATCTTTATTTCTTGTCAACAAATCTTGTTGATATTTTGTTATCAACATCCATACAATTGTATGTGACATCTTCTTACTGTAAGCTCTTCATTGATCCCCACAGACAGTAGGACATCATCATTAACACAAAATATAACTGCTACCCAAATGTCAGTTTCATCTTTGATACACAAGGAACCTCAAAAAGCCCAATTATAGACTTTGTAACTTCTGTAGATTCTTCTGCATTCATTTCAAACATAAGGTTCTCAGCCTTTCAGTAGCACTAAAAACATCCATTGTAATGCCCCCTTTTCCAATGCCTACAACTCCTGAAGCCACTTTAGAAAGCCAGTCCAGTAGGGTCTCTGTGTCTTCACCTCCTCCTAAGACCACTTGTATCTCTACTGTTTCTCTAGGAAAACAGAGCTCTTCGGTAAGTTCTTCAGAAGATGGAACAATATCAGCCATATCTGCTGGAATCATCACTCAATCCACTACACCAACAATCAAGAACACAACAGTGAATGCTACATCCTTAAAAGTGCCTTATATTTTTGCAAAAATACCACCTAGCTCTTCAAGCAGTTTTGCTTCTGTCACTACTGTGGCCTCTAGCATTACTACAAAAACCACTGATTCTTTTGTTGCCGATTTGGAGTTTTATATGGCTTCAGCTTCAGTTCCTACCACCACAGAAACATCCATGCATGTGTCACACAGATCTTTATTTACACCTGCAGTGACTCAGGTTTCACAGAGCACTAAAGAGACTCCAAAAATTATGATTATGAAAACAACTGGTACTACAAGTCCATTATCACAGACAAAGAGTACCTCACTTGCAGCTTCAGAAGTTAAATATGCAACCTCATTTGAAAGAACTGGGGATGTTTTAGAAAGTGGTCAGATTTCACATGAGCAAAGAAATGTTACCAAGACAAAGTCAACCACAACTGAGAAATCTTCCCTGTCTTATTTGACAGTATCTCCAGTTCAGAGTTCACCTTTCCCAAGAAACATAACCACAGTAAAAAATCTCTCTGCTTCTGGAGTCCCAGATGTAATAATATCAGATTGGTCAAATATCCCAACACAGAAATCCATTAAACCTTATTTCAGTTTAACAGAGCCCACAGAGCTTCAGACCAGAACTGTAGTAGATTTATCTCATTCTAGTGGTGGAATGTCTCTGCCTTCCTCTCCAGAGCCTGTGGAAACACTAAGTTCTCTGGCAAGCACAGAAACAATGAAGGCTTCCTTTGGTACAATGATGCATACACTGATGTCTACATCTTCTGAATGTGTGGTATGATCAGTTCTACTTGCTCCTACGTGTTAAAATAGAAACTGCTTTGCAGTCCATTGTGTTATGCTATGTATGTAATACCAGAGCTTTAAAAATCACCTGATTTTGTTTTCATTTGTCTGTTTTAAAATATGCAACTATTCTTAGATGATTGCAGTATCGTTGCTCCTATACTGCTGTAGTATATTCTGCAACTCGGATGTAAGACTTTTAAAGCTATGTGCTGATTCTAGATAGGAAAACACATTTTTGAGCTGTAGACAAAACCATAAACCATAGGATGTTTTTGTTTCTGCATAATCTCACTCCACCTTTCCTTTTTCCATTTGATTCTTTGTTATAGGGCTTAAAATTATGGGAACGGATGATTCTGTATTTTTTTAAATGCTTCAGATTATTGCTGAATATAACATGTAGCCTCAGTGCACAATGTTTTGCATTCCACCAAACCTAGATGGAGCAGGAGGGGTGTGGGTGTGGGATGTGCATCCTTGTCACCTGTCACAAAAAAGCAATTCATTCCAAAATAACTGATGAGGAGTCTTGTAGTCATGCTGATTCTGTCTCAGAGCAGGGTGATGAACAAGTGGTCGCTTGGACTCTGTAAGGGCAATGAACGTAAGGTTGATTCTGGTTGCTTTTTCCTTATATGACAGCCAAGATACCTTGAACCTGTTGACAAATGTAGCCACTATGTATGTGTTAATATGGATTGGATATTATACAACCTTTCAAGGAACTGCCTTAAGGATGTGCAGAAGCCAGACTGTGGTTTTCGAGGAATGCCGGTTCAAGTTAACTCTGATAGTTGTTGCCCAGAATGGGAATGTCCTTGTAAGTTACTGTTTTATTTTTAAATACAACATAGAGCCTTGATCTGTAAATTTCAAGTAATAAATTAAGGGTTTATTACAGTGGGAATATGAGGTTGAATACTGACATGAATTTAAAAGAACTGTTCATCAGCAAAACAGAATAAAATATACTGAAACTTTTGGTATCTTTGAATTCAAGAGAGTCAAAATATTTTCTTTTGAATCAAAACATTAAAATGAAATCTGCAACATGAACATCAGCATATTCCAGCTGACTCTCTTTTCAGAATTTCTATCAGTAGAAACGTTCAGATTTCAACATTTTGTGAAGGAATAAATTAAATACTGTCATTTCTGCAAGACAGAACCCCCAAATTTCAGTTAGCTCTAACTGCAGTTTTTACTCATACTTAGAAACTACAGAAACTGGCAGATGGCTGTCTGCCAAGGGAACAAAAAAGCCACAAAGGAGTCACATTGATAACATTGCAGCATTATTGAAACCCATATTGCACTTTTAAATATCTGTCTCAAGATAGGACAGATCAGCATCTTGTTATCAGTAGCTCAAAACTGCATACATTTTAATGCATGTATTTTATTTCACAATGTACGGATTCAATGACCTTGACTGTAAAACATTGACTTAAGTGAAAATTTTCACCAATTTAAACTTTTACTCTGGGCACATAGCTTAATAGGTTAAACTATTTCCACTGAGTAATGTAAGACACTTCCTTCTGCTTTTGGTTCAGTATACTGTCTGCAGAACAAGGTCATCAGTATATATATATATGAACATTCAGAGGGAGAGAGAGAAAATATTGCTAAATTGGAGGGTTTTTAGAAATGCCCTGTATATGGTTTTGTGGGAATCTCATTAAATGACAGTTCTTTTTTAGGTCAATGTTCTGTACTGTCTGAACTGAGTGTTATCACATTTGATGGAAACAACATAGCCCTCTGTAATATGGCTTCCTACATTTTAGTCAAGTTACCAGGAGAAATTATTGTTGCTCATATTGAAAAATGTCCTGCTAATCAGGTAAGATTCTTGCATTTCTGCAATAATTGTCTTGCATTTTTGTGTTGTAAGACTGAAATTCTGCTAAACTTTATCAATTAAAACTTACAGATAAAAGCCATACCCTTTGAAAAATGGCAAGTTATTTAATATTCAAGGAACATGTTAATCATGCTCTCTAGATCAAAGAATTTTATCTCAGGTTAAACAGTAATTGTTGTATTATGTTATAACAAAATTCAAATGTAGGTTCCTTTTAACTTAGTTAGGGTGACGTAGCTTCTGTATCTGCATGTCTCCATTCAGGTTCTCCACCTACAAAGCTTCCCGAGGACTTGAATTTATAATTTACAGTATGGCAAAAATGCTAAAATACTTTGAATAGCCACTGAAATCTGTTGTAGTTATTTTAGGAAGGTATTAATCGTTTTGGGATTAGTGTAAAGAGCTGTCCTTTGTAGTTGTCCAACTCACTGCATTGCCTACAGAGGGGATCCAGCCACTTTATTTTTAGACTGTCAGTTTAGGTCAGGTCAGTCTCATCCTTAGGGTCTTTGCATACCCTCCTTTGCACTGTCCATAGTCCTAATTTATGTAGCCCTTGAACAACTGGCTTACATTTCCATCTTCGGTTTGTGGATAAAGAAGTTCCTGATGAGGAACTCCATCAGGATTCTTTCCTTTCCATCCTTACTTGCTCTCTTATGTACTCTCACTGGGGGAACTGTACACATGAATTTTAAGTCCCGAGTCTTACACTGTTTTAGAGGTTTTCTTTTAAATTTCTCCCTTCACTGTTTCTTGGTTGCAGACTAAAGGTGTGAACACAGCTCATGGAAGCAGATGTGCTTTAGAAGTCTGCAGCTGTGGTTCTCTAAGAAATACTTTTTGAAAGGGCCTTGCAGCATATGCTAAATCTTGTGATACTGATAATGAGTTGCTTTCAATGTTAAAGCTGTTCAGCTAAAAGCTAGCTGAGGTACGGTAAGTATGAGCTACATCTTGTGCAGGAGGATGCCTTGGTAAAGTAGCAGTTTTATCAGAGTTAGGGCAGCAGATTTTATTGGCATATCTGTTGTATTTTTAATTCAGCTTGTTCAGGTCATGGTGTTATCTTTTCTGTCTTATTTTCCACATAAATCCCTTTGATTTAAATCTTTAACAAGCAAATCAAGTTTCTAAAAATAGTTCATACAAAGTTCACAAAAATAATTCACAGAAAGCTGCATTAGCTGGGAAATGTGTATTTTTATTGTTTATAAGGAATATATTAAATTAGTTCAATTATACAGCTGGTTGTAGAACTTAAAGAAAACAGTCAACCTATTTTTGCCAAATAAGAATGCTGCCGATTATTATTGCACTTCTAATCTCTTTCTAATGTTTTTCAGAGTGCAAATTCAATAAGAAAACTAGTGAGTACTTTTTTCTTTTACTAATTATAAAAGACGTCATTATTGCACATCTTAAAAAAATTCCCTATGGCACTGGTACACAATTAGAAAATAAATAGTAACTGAACTTGTTTGTCACTTTTCTTTTAAGGTTCCCCCTGCAAGCACTTCGGGGCTCTGTTTTAAGAAATTAAATGTAACAACAGGCACATATCAATTACTTATCAATCGTTTAGCAAGAAAAGTGAGTATATGTCATGTATATATCATGTGCACACTTAAAAGATAGCTGAGAGCTCATTCTGTTGTAGAATGCAGTAGATTAGATTTATAATGAATGCACTATAGGGTTAGGATTACTTTGCTGGTCAGGTTCCCAGTAATTCATAGTATGCTAGAAGCAAAGAATATATATTTGTGACACCATGCTCCACTTATATGCCATTTATCCAAAATGAAACTTCAAAGCTCTTTTGAGATTTTAGAGAAGCTGCAAAAGCATTTATACTTGAGATGTATTTCCAGAAAACCCAAATAGAAATGTTCCAAAATGTGATAAATACTTAAACTGCCTTTCCTGATAGTAACAAGTGAGAACAGATAAGTTTGAATAAATGAATGCGGGTGGAGGTTTTTTTGTTCTATCATATGATATGTGATAAGAAAGATTTATTGCTTCTGTAATTAGAAAAGATTTCTGTATCTTTTTTTCTTATGCCTACTTCATTTGTCACTATGGGAAATGGCACTGACAGGAAGCTCTGTGACTTAAGCACTGTGTCTGTTATTGCATGCTTCAGAGGCTGTAAAAAATATCTTTTGTTATAAAATGTAGAGACATAAAATGCATCTTTGCCATCTGTTTTTATCTCTAAACCGTATTTGGTTTATTTTAGGTAGTAGTGGATTCTGTAGTTCAATCATTACCATTTTCAAAGGAAGGACTGAGTATTCAGGATACTGGTGCAATATATATTGTTAATACCCCAGCTGGTATTAGCATCAAGTGGGCTCACATTACAGGCATCATCGATATACAGTATGGATTACACTCTAACACATCCATGAAGACAGAAGGACTTTGTGGTGAGGCTATGACTTTTTTATGTTTAATAATTTCCCGTTGAAAATGTACACCTGCCTTTTGTGTCTGTGACCTGCTGTCCCTATAGCTATCCTTTTGACCTCCATTAACTACGCTGACAATCCTATTTGAGGTGGGCTTGTGAAATTCTATTAATAATAGTAAATCAGTAGCTCTGTTTCAAAGCACTCTGTTTTGCAGAGCAAGGAATGATCATTAGATTGTACCTAATTAACTTTAAAAAACTGTACTCATCACTGCCTGCATTTAAGAATATTGTTGAAGTCAGGTAAAGAAAAGGGTAAAATTTTCAATGGAGAACTGGCTGCTGAAGAAGTTCAGGTAGTGACGGTATATTTCAGTGATTATGAAAGAAAAGGATAACAGATGTTAGCAGTGGCAGCTTATCAGTATGCAAATACTGATAAAAGGCATATTTTGGGAAGGGTCCAAGTCCCCTGAGGATAGTGAATCCAAACGGAGACCTGTTAAGGTTGGATCTAGGGTCCAAAACTGTGCTGACATGTCTCAGACTTACAGTGATACTAAATTGAGCATGTTTCAGGCTTCCCTGATTGCCTTCTTATAACTCTGCTAGTAGGAATTATATGGAAAATTGTAAGCAAATATTTGAGTTACTCTAATTCTATCATGCATGCTCACTTTCTGGTGCATTGTTATTTTACAGTCTACCCCAAATTGAACAGGAAAATGAAATTTTTATAGTATTTTAAATCGCTTTCAGTTTAAAAAGCAAACAAAAACCAATACAGGTGTGGTTTAAATATAGCTGTAAACAAAGTAAGTTGAAAATCAATTGCTGTATTCTGCTTGAATGAAAGTTGTCCTAGATCTACTGAGAGAAGGTGAATGCTGGCTCTGCTCTTTTTCCAGTATCATGCCATCTTCTCCGTGCACACTGAAAAAGATTGGGATAAGATGTGGTAGGAAGGTAGGATGTAGGAAGGATTATAGAATAGTTACTCGTGCCATGGAAAGAAAGAGGAAGACTCTGCAGACAAATCCAATCTCTGCTGTGAAGTGTTGCTCTACCTGATATTTTGCCATGAAGTCTGAAGCCTCTTTTAGCGCTTCTTTTCTATTCTCTGCCTTTTGTTCCTGTCTGGGATTCTCCTATCCTCTCCTTCTCAAACTGAAAAAACTGTGGGACTATGTGGCACAATGGCTTTATTTTTAAAGCTGTATTTTTTAGCATCACCCTACAAATTCTAACACCACCACAATTTGTGGGATGGCATTAGGGCAGCAGCAAGAAGCAGAAGTGTTAAGAATATTGGAGAGTGGTGCTACCATCAAATGCTCCTTATGCAAATGCCACCTTCTGTGTTTTTCCATGCTGCCGAGAATAACAACCTGTCATGTGAGGCTAACCCAGTCCTACAAGGGACCCTGGAGGGTATCAGGATACAGGGCTGGAAGCATGAAGGCAAGCACTTACGGTGTGGTTAGCAATGTGGAAAGAAAGTGAAAAAGGATAAAGGAACCTTGGTTAATTAGTTGTTGGGATGTAAAACACTGTTATGACTATTAAAATTTTGTCACTAAAGACTTGTTACACTGCCGTGGTTTAAGCCCAGCCGGTAACCCAGAACCAAGTAGCCACTTGCATACTCCCCCTATTCCCCACCCCCACTCCCGGAGGGATGGGGAGGAGAATCAGAAGACTGCAACTCCCATGGGCTGAGATAAGAACAGCCCAGTAACTAAGGTATAACACAAATCACTACTGCTACCACCAATAATAATAATGATAAGGGAAATAACAAGGGAAGAGAATACAACTGCTCACCACCTGCCGACCGGGACCCAGCCTGACCCAAGCAGTGATCTAGCCCTTCCAGGTGACTGCCGCCAGTTTGTATACTGGGCATGACGTGCTGTGATATGGAATACCTCTTTGGCTAGTTTGGGTCAGGTGTCCTGTCTTTGTTTCCTCCTGGCTTCCCCTCCTCCCTGGAAGAGCATGAGACTCAGAAAGTCCTTGGTCAGAGTAAGATTACGGAGCACCAACTAAAACCATTGGTGTTATCAGTGCTGTTCCCAGGCCAAAAGTCAAAACCACAGCACTGCACCAGCTACTGAGAAGGAGAAAAATGACTGCTACTGCTGAACCCAGGACAGCTTATAGGAAGATATGTTTTCATTGATTAATCAACAGAATACATACAGTAATGAATTCAGGTAGCCAGCAGATTTCAGGGGTTTAGGTGGAGTTTTTTTTCAGTGGTTTTCTTTCCCAAAGGAAGTAATATGGCATGTTTGTTTGTACTTTGAATGCGATGCTCTGTCCCCAGGGGTGTGTAATGGAGACCCTACTGATGATCTGAAAATGCAAAACAGGACCATAATTACAAACATGGAGGAAATTGAAGTGTTCATTAGGAGTTGGGAAATTGAGAAATCACTTGATGTAACAACCCGGAGGCCAGTAAGAAACTGTACTGAAGATAACTGTACATACTGTATGGGACTGTTGAATGGAAGCACTTTCATCCCTTGTCATAAGAAAGTGAGTATGAAGATCAGAGAAATTCCAGGTGCAAATTAAAGATTTATAGTTAAGAAAAGAGCAAGAGAGATATGTATATTTTTTATGTATTTCTTATTTCCATGAGCTGACAACTGGATCGGTGGCTTTAATACCTCTATCATTTTGGCTTTAATACTCTTGTCATACTGTCTGTTGTAAACATACATACATATGGATCCCTGTGCTATTACGGTCTTAAATTATTTAGTAGGAAAAGCTCAAAGGAGAGACATCAGATCACCATCTCAACAGAAGAACATTCCAAATAATAATTCAATTTTTAATAAATGCTTGACACGGGTCACTAGAAAAGAAAGCCTCATGCTTCTGCTGCATACATCAGCAACTCATGCAGCCTGAGACTACTTGAACTGAAGACATTTCCAGTTAAATTTTGATATACTTACTATTATGTTGACAATTTGGTGACATTTCTTACAGAAAGCATTATCTTTTGTTTCTGGGCACTGTACTTTCTAATAGGGATATTAGCTGTAGCACACAGACTACCACTAGAGGTCGGTAGTGCAGCACAACTGCTTTCCTATATAAGGAACCCTACATAAGGAATTACTTTCCCCAAGTAATACAAAGTGAAAGGATTAATTACTCTTAATTAAGCCCTCTCCCCACTTTCCACAGGTAGAAAAAATTGATGAAGTTCTGAAAGGAAGGGGTTAAAGAGTTTTGATGTTTATTTATTTGTTTGTTTGTTTGTTTGTTTGAAGATTAACTAACAAGGAGGGTCTGGTCGAAGCAGTAAAGGTTGAGGGCTGCCTTGGTTGCAGTGACCACGAGATGGTGGAATTCAGGATCTTGTGTGGTAGGACCAGTAGAATAGCAAGTAGAATTGCAACCCTGGACTTTAGCAGGGCAAACTTTGGCCTTTTCAAGCAATTGCTAGGGGAAATCCCATGGGCAAGGCTGCTTGAAGGTAAAGGGGCCCAAGATAGTTGGCATTCAAGGCTTGCTTTTTCCGAGCTCAAGATCGGAGCATCCCGACCCGTAGGAAGTCAAGGAAGAGGGCCAGGAGATCTGCGTGGCTAAATAGGGAATTGCTGGGTATGCTCAAGTGGAAGAGGAGAGTTTACAGGTCATGGAAGGAGGGGCTGGCCACTTGGGAGGAATATAAGGCTGCTGCTAGAGGATGTAGGAAGGCAGCTAGGATGACTAAGGCCTCCTTAGAATTAAATCTGGCGAGAGGGGTCAAGGACAGCAGAAAGAGCTTTTTCAAATACATGGAAGATAAAACTAACACCAGAGGCAATGTAGGCCCACTGATGAACGGGATGGGTGCCCTGGTGACAGAAGATACAGAGATGGCAGAGTTACTGAATGCCTTCTTTGTCTCTGTCTACTCTGCTGCAGGCAGTCCTGAAGAGCCCTGTACCCCTGAGACCTTAGATGAAGTCAGGTCAATGGAGCGGTTTGCCTTAGTCGATGAGGAATGGGTTAGAGACCGGTTGAGCAATCTGGACATCCATAAATCCATGGGTCCAGATGGGATGCACCCGCGGGTGCTGAGGGAACTGGCGGAAGTCATTGCTAGACCACTCTCTATCATCTTTACCAAGTCTTGGGAAACAGGAGAGGTGCCTGAGGACTGGAGGAAAGCAAATGTCACTCCAGTCTTCAAAAAGGGCAAGAAGGAGGACCCGGGTAACTATAGACCTGTCAGCCTCACCTCCATCCCTGGGAAAGTGATGGAACACCTTATCCTTAGTGCTATCTTAAGGCATATCGAGGATAAGAGGGTTATGAGGGGCAGTCAACATGGCTTCACCAAGGGGAAATCATGCTTGACCAATCTCTTAGCCTTTTATGAGGAAATAACACAGTGGATGGATGATGGCAGAGCAGTAGATGTGGTCTACCTTGACTTCAGCAAAGCATTTGACACAGTCTCCCACAGCATCCTCACAGCTAAATTGAGTAAGTGTGGTCTCGATGATCAGGTAGTGAGGTGGACTGTGAACTGGCTGAAAGAGAGAAGCCAGAGAGTTGTAGTCTATGGGGCAGAGTCTAGTTGGAGGCCTGTAACTAGTGGAGTGCCTCAAGGGTCAGTACTGGGACCAGTATTATTTAATATATTCATCAACGATTTAGATGAGGGAATTGAGTGTACTATCAGCAAGTTTGCTGATGACACTAAACTGGGAGGAGTGGCTGACACGCCAGAAGGCTGTGCTGCCATCCAGCGAGACCTGGACAGGCTGGAGAGTTGGGCAGGGAGTAACTTGATGAAATATAACAAGGGAAAGTGTAGAGTCCTGCACCTGGGCAGGAACAACCCCAGGTTCCAGTATAGGTTGGGGAACGACCTGTTAGAGAGCAGTGTAGGGGAGAGGGACCTGGGGTCCTAGTGGACGACAGGATGACCATGAGCCAACACTGTGCCCTTGTGGCTAAGAAGGCCAATGGCATCCTGGGGTGTATTAGAAGGGGGGTGGTTAGTAGGTCGAGAGAGGTCCTCCTTCCCCTCTACTCTGCCCTGGTGAGACCGCATCTGGAGTATTGTGTCCAGTTCTGGGCCCCTCAGTTCAAGAAGGACTGGGAGCTGCTGGAGAGAGTCCAGCGCAGGGCAACCAAGATGATTAAGGAAGTGGAGCATCTCCCTTATGAGGAAAGACTGAGGGAGCTGGGTCTTTACAGTTTGGAGGAGACTGAGGGGTGACTTTATTAGTGTATAGAAATATATAAAGGGGGAGTGTCACGAGGATGGAGCCAGGCTCTACTCAGTAGCAAACAATGATAGGACAAGGGGTAATGGGTACAAACTGGAACACAAGAGGTTCCACTTAAACTTGAGAAGAAACTTCTTCTCAGTGAGGGTGATGGAACACTGGAACAGGCTGCCCAGGGAGGTTGTGGAGTCTCCTTCCCTGGAGACATTCAAAACCTGCCTGGACACATTCCTGTGTAACCTTATCTAGGTGTTCCTGCTCCGGCAGGGGGATTGGACTAGATGATCTTTTGAGGTCCCTTCCAATCTCTAGCATACTGTGATATTAGTCACAGAAACTTAATGGGAGGGAGCAGTGATAAGCAGTTTGGAATCAAGAAGGGAGAATAGCACCAGCCGGTAGCAGAATGCTTTTCATAACTGTTTTAACACATCTCATTTGAAAATAAATAAAGGGAATCTGAATAGTCAGAATTCCTACTTCATAAATGCTTCCAAGAGAACTCTCATAGCCACAAATACAGTACAATTGCATCTTTTACTAGTTCATAGCAAAACATGACACAGGATCAAAACTGCTAAGGACTTTCATCCGTTAGGAAATTTGTTTTCTTTCACATACATGATGGAGGTAGAGCCAGAGTGGATAGAGCAAACTGGACTCTTCACAGGCATGAAGCAACTGGACAAAGATAGGAAACAATCATCAGGGCAATTAACTTTATGGCAAAGTGAGTGACTGCTTGAAGACTGCTGAAACCATAGGGAAAGCTGGGCTGCAGCACCATAGTAAACAGGAAAAATCTGACTTTTCCACCTTTTTACAAGCCTGTAAAAATAAGAACAGAAAAAAGATTGGTTGCACCACCTGCATTCAGACCCAATAGGCACAGGCTATTGGGTCTTCTGCAGACACAGAAACAGAGCACTCAGTAATAATTCATTTACAGCAGGAATTTATGGAAGGTATAGCAGCAAAGCTTAGCTGAGATTGTTGACTTCTAGGTGACAGGGCGGTAACTGCGAAAGTGGTGTGACAATGTCATTAGGGCTGTCTTCTTTGCCTACTAATGAGTATAAAAAAATTCTGTCAGTTGAAGTTTTGCAGAATGAGTGTTCCGGAAAAAAATGCTTTTTTTTTTTGCTTCAGACAATGCACATGATTTTTTCCCTTGCAGTTGTATTATTTCTTGTAATTAGTGATTTAATTGCAGAAAGCTCTTCCACTTGTTAATTCTCAATTACAATATGTTCCCAGGTGTCACCACGGGAGTTTTGTGAGAAAATGTGGATCAACAGTACCAATTTTTGGAATTATGAGTGTGATGCACTTTCTGCATATGCGGCTTTATGCAACAAGCACAACATCTGCATTAAATGGAGGACACCTGATTACTGTTGTAAGCAGATAGCTATGTTCTATACCCCAGAGTGGCTTTATACTGCTGCAGTGTTTAGTGATGAGTTAAAAATATTCTTTTTCTATTGTTATTGTGAGTATCATCTCATTCTATCACAGCATTAGTAAATCAGGGTAAAAGTTATTAAGATGTATTGTTTAAGTCAAAGTATCATGAATCAGTTTTAATCTTGATTGAATTAGTTTCTTAAAATACTGTTAGAAATATAAATGCATGCTTTCTATGATACACTTGCTTGTTCTTACTACCTGTTAGTCCAATTAAATGCTAAAAGAACAGCAGCACTCACTGCCTTTTTTTTATTACTTGCAGCACTGAGTTGTCCCGAGGGCAAGGAATACCAGCCTTGTGTGCAACCCTGTGAAGCCAAGACATGCTTGAATAAATGGTTCTATGAAGATTCTCCCTGTTCCTACTTAAGGGAGGACTGTGTTTGTAGAAATGGCACTATTCTGCATAGAACAGACTCTGACCTCTGTATACCAGAAGAAAAATGTAGTAAGTGCTGCAGGAGAGGGCAGTTTCTTAGATATGTTAATATTAACTGCAGCTCACGAGAAGTGATGTTTTAAGTTCCCTGCCAGTCCTCAGTAAGTGTGATGTTGTATAGCTCCCTTCAACACAGCCTTCACCTATCTCTCCAGTTTGAGCTTTCAGTGCACTTGGATTCAAGAGCCAATGGTGATGTACTTCTGTCAGGGAAAAATAATGGTCATTCTTTCATAGCACCCAGGTTTTCTTTCCTAGATTACTCTGGAAGGAACAGCATGAGCAGGTTCTTTCCCTCACACTCAGTATTTATTTTCACCCATAGTGAAGCCTTTGCTCATTTGGACTTTTTGAGGTCATCATCTTTTCTTGGATTCCTTGATCATAATGCTCCACAGTACTCTTATTTTATGAAATGCTTCTATGGAATTCATAGTTGCTTGCAGGAAATCTGCACTCTCTATTTAATAAAGGTATATAATGTTTTTTCTCTCAGCATGTACAGATAACAAAGGACAACCCCGCTCTGCTGGGGAGATCTGGAATGGGTCCATGAGAGGCTGTTGCATGTACAACTGTTTAGAAAATGGAAGCATTGTTTCTGTAGAACCTGAATGCAATGAGGATCCACTACCGGTCTGTGAAAGAGAAGGGGAAGTTATTGTCCATGTCATCGAAGAAAAAGCTTGCTGTCCAAAGAAAGTTTGTGGTATGTACCACACTTATTTTCAGTAACAGAAGTATAAGATTAAGTGCTTGACATTCAGTGGCAGAGGATGATCTTTAGACAGGGGTCCAAGGTAGCATTTTTCAGAAGTGTTTTTTAGGTACTTGCAGTTGCTTGGGCCAGCAAAGCAGGCTGCTTTACTTTGTAAGAACTGACTCACTGAAATAATATATTTTTTTCATTCTTGGCAGTCTGCTTGTGAAACAAATCTTCTGTTCAAAATGAATTTTGAAGCTCTTCAGTTGAATTTCAAAATAAATTAATAAATACTTGATGATAGAAGTAGTTTGGTAATTGCGGCAGTCATCAGAGCCTGTTCACTTTTCTTATTAATGCTTTGGTATCAAGAGCAGTATCCTCTGACCTACTGCTGTTTCACAGAAGCAGGATTCTGTGAGCTGGTCACTGAATACTAATATTTTGTCTAGCCATGGTTAAGGAATAAGCTCATTGCTCCTAAAATGTTAATTAAAAGATGCTAATTTCTCATATCATCTTCAAGGAAAATCAGCACAAACGGTCAAACTGATATGCTTTTGCTCATTGCACACCTGTAACCAACACTGAACTGTCAATTTGTTAAGGGAGTATTTTCACTGTGACATTTTAGCTGGCTTCATGTGTAGGAAGCAGTGTAGGCAAATACCTGCTTTAAGAGGGATATAACTGTGCTTGCACAGTGACACGTGGTTGGAGTTCCACCAGCCCTAGGTTGAGCTTGGAGGTCTACAGGATGGTATGGAGTACACTTTAAGCTGACTTGGGCTGCTTGTAGTTTGTGAATCTCTATACTGAATGGTATATACATCTTGAGGTATAGAACTTGCACTCATCTCTGTTCAAATGTGTCAAAATTGTTTTTTTATCCCACAGAATGTAACATCTCATTGTGTGACACCATTATTCCAACATGCAAACCCAGTGAAAAATTAGTGGCAGGTTACCATCCCCTGTCCTGCTGTCCACAGTACCGATGTGGTAAGGGAAACACAAATACACAGTTTCTGGGACATTTTCCACGCTTGTATTATATGTTGTACGAAAACCTGCCTTACAAGTTGTTTTAATTGTTAACAGAGGGAGACACTGTAAATAGCACCAGGCAATGACTCTTTTTTTTTCCACATGCCAATATTTTCTTGTGCTTGTGTTTTGTGTCACTTTTGACTTACAGATAATTTGGGGTAGATGAAGAATATCTTTTATCTATCCTTTTAGTATTATTTCTGTGTCTGTTTTTAGAACAGTGTTTATTTCACATCCTGCAGAATGTGATCCTTCAGCTTGTTTCAATGCTTCCCACCTGGACTGCAGAGAAGATCAATTTATTGTGGAAGCAAAACAGGAAGATCCCTGTTGTTTCTCTTACCTGTGTGGTAAGAATCCTCTAATATTTTTTATGATTAACTAAGGAATAGTGAAGTATTTACAAAACCAGTCTATAGTTCTAAACCTAATCATTTAAGTCAGGAATTCATGTAGAGGTCAGTGGGATTTCACACAGGTCAGGCTGGCTAAAGCATAAGTTATTCTTCAGTTTTGGGATTTTTTTTTTCAAACATAATTTTGAACATACTACTACCGGTTTTATATTTGAATGTCAATCCATAAAAGCTCTATTATCCAAGTAACAAACATAATATGACTTGTTATATAGCTTATTATATGGAAGCCACATGTGCTAACATTTTAGTATTGAAAACTTTGTCTGCTTTTTTTTTTAATTTAGTTTGTGAATCCTGTATTGAGCCTGTTCCCTTGTGTAATGAGGGGGAAATTCTCACTGTAGACCTTAATACCATACATTACTGTTGTCCTCATTACTACTGTGGTGAGTACAATTTTTTTATCAGTTCAATTCGTTACCAAATTCAGTAAATATGACAGACTCTGTGTGTGGAAATTCAGGATTTAGGGTGGGCTGCAAGAGAGATTAAGAGATCTAAATTAGGGTGTTCGCATAGAGGTGAGCTCAAATTTCTTGGTATACTCAGTGCTGGTCTAACCAACCCAGTCAATAGAGTCTGGAGAGGTTATTTAATCCACCAGAGAGAATATAGGTACTTTCAGGGTGATCTAAGTGATGATATATTGATGTGGAACTGAATCCCATCCTTGGAGTATAAATATACAGTTGTTCACATACTAAAACACCTGCCATAAAACAGATTCCATATTGTTGTTCCTCTGTTGTACCATTCGCTAGTGTTTAGGTAGTTTCTTTGCAGTTTTAGCTTTTCTAAAAGCTAAAGGAAGCAATAGGCCAAGGGTTTCAAATACTGCTGGGTTGACTACTATTCAAAAAAGAAACAGAAGAAAAATATTTGCAGTTTAATGTGGTCTTTGGTAGCCTCATAAAACCACAGAAATTGTGCTGTGTGTTCTTAAGTAATGTCTACATGTGTAACTGCTTGATTTAGATTAACTCTTATCTTGTTGGTGTCTTTGAGTAATTTCAATTAATTAAGTAGTCTTCCAGCAAGTCTGAAGATTAGTAATTTTTACTTCAGCTGGTTCCATATTTTGGTCCTTACCTTTTCCTTGCACTTGCACCCAGGTTAAAGTTTCTGCAAAGGGCCTTTGGCACTGTTTTTGCCAAATTCTGGCAGGTAGAAAGTTAGATCTTAGTATGTGGTCATCTTTCAGAGTCCCAGTAAGCCACTTCCAATAAGGCAGGCAGATATTTGCTTACTGGAGTCATCCTAGGAGGGCAGTTGCTCCTGTTATCTTACAGAAGTGTGCTTTACAGCACATTTGTAGCTGGTACTAGTTATCAGCTTGAGTGACTCTGAAGTAAGAGGAATATTAAATGATTCCTGTGTGAAGTTTTCTGAAAATTTCAACGTTTTAAGGCAACTAAAAGCATTTTTTAAAATCGTTGTTTATTTTTTAAGTTCCAAATATAATTCAGATGCTTAAGAAACACAATAAAAAATAGTTAAGATGTCCTTAAAATAGTTCATCAAGGAAATACAAGCCAGAAAATTCAAAGGAAATTTGAGAAATGTGTGTCTCATATGTTTCTTCTCTCCCTGTCCCCTTTAGTTTGTGATGAAAATCTTTGTCCTGAGCCTCCTATGAATTGCACAGATGAAATGACACTTGTGAAGGAAAAAATACCGGGGCAGTGTTGTCCAGAATGGCACTGTGGTAATCATTGCTTTATTCCTTAGTCACTGCTGGTAACAAAAGCTAACAAGTAGATAACTGACTACCATGGGTTTCTTGTTTTCTTTTCAGAATGTAGCTGTGAAAACGCTACTATGCTGACCTGTAAATTGGTAAGCACTGTCCTTTAGATAATTTTATTAATGGACAATTGAACAATCCTCTTACTCCTCCCTTTCTATTCCTTGTTTCAATTAGTTTTAAAGGGTGTTGAAGCTGAACAGGGACAGGCATGTGACTCGAAGTGTCTGCACAGTGTTGTCAAATATTCCTTGGGGAAATTTCGCCTTGTGTGTTATAAGATGTCAAAAGAAGAAAAGCAACTGCAGTATTATTCTGTTCAATGTTGACTCAAAATATGCTGGGAAGGTTTTCCATGTAAATAAACCCAATTATTTTTAATAATTAATGAGGAATAAGCTTTATGATCATATATATAATCTGAAGAAATATGTTATTTTGTTAATCCTTTATGCTTTTGATTAAAATGATTTAACATCACTGAATTTAACCGTTATGAGAAGCCATAAATATTTTGCTCCTCACATACCTTCTCATAATAGGGACTGTGATCTGGAAAACAATTATGAGTGAATGTTCAAATTCCCATTATTACTGCAGTGATGGAGATATGTTCCCTGTCAAATGCCTGTCACTTGACTTTCTCTTTTCCCTTATGTGAAGGCTAAATAATGTAAAGTCTAAACAGAAGTTGCAAATTTGAATAGGTATTACCTAGCTTTTGGAAGAAAATTCATAGAAGGTAGTCTGTTGCTGCTATGTTTATTACTGACATAACTTTGTATCTAGGAAAAATTGCTCTTCAGTGACTCTGTTATTCAAATGTATTCTCTTTGCTCCTGTTTAAAGTGATAAATACATCTAATAACTCTGTGCTACTGTTTCTTAAGTACGTTGAAATTTTTCTCTTTTATGAAAGCAGGGGTGGAAGTGATGAAAGTGATATTTTACATTTTAAAGAAAAAAAATGTCTGTTTAGCACTACATTTAATTGTCCATGACTTTGCAAACTCTTATCTTTTTATCCTCAGGGAGAAGTTAAAAAAATAGATAGTAATGTTTCCAGTGCTTGTGGATGCACTCACTACATTTGTGGTAACTTTTTTCATATTCTTAGCTGTTTTAGTTTAGTTTTTAGCAAAAAAAGTCATGCAAAGAAAGCATTATAGGGCCATAATAACTTTCTCAAGCATAAACACTCCTTTAACTTCATTTCATGGATGTCTACTTAGTTATGCCAGTACACTCTCTTTTTGGAACACCATGCTTTGTCTGCTAAGCCATCCATTTTGTGTCTGTTCTGGTGGGGTGTAGGAGTGTCATAATACTGCCCTTGCTTTCAGAGTCAGGCATGGTCTGTCTGGTGGGAGGCAGACAGGGTGCAGATTGTGAACCTTAGCTGAGTGTGAGCAGTGCGAGTGCTGCTAGTTCAGTATCGAGCACTAATGAGACATCTCACACCAGAGCAACAGACCTGTCCAGCCGGCACAAAGGTAGATACCCTGTCTTAAGACTAGATTTCAGCTGTGCTGTGCATGAGGGTGCTTGCTGCCCACTGCAATCCTGACCGCAGCCCAGGCTGAAGTGCCTCTGTGAGCAAAGCACACATTTACAATACAGCTTGAGGATATTACTGTCCCAAAGGTAATTGTAGACATGCTAGTTTAACAGACAGAAAGGCTACATTTTGTCCAATGTTAAATATTAGGACTCTTTAAAAATAAGACCAACACTCTTTTTTTTTTTTAAATTCCATAGTAGGAACGCTATTTACTTTATACAGTTTTGCATTTTGCAGTGTTTTCTTAAGCTGAATTACACCTCTCCCTCACCTGTTCCCTCCCCACCCCCCCACCCGCACTCCCCTGTCTGATAAATAAACCACAAACCAATCAAGTCTAAAAGTTAGAATGCTTTTGCAGACCACAGGACTTTGCCTTCTGTTTGTGTCCACAATGATTCTGTTGATTTGCCTGATGATTTTTTTTTTTTGTCCCGTTCTGGTAACATTTATTTCTTTTGGTGTTAGAGAAGGATGATGTGTGCATCTTCCAAGAGGTCACGGTACTGAATCCTGGACAGTCAGTGATTCAGTTCTTGGGTGGAGACCTTTGTTACACTGTACAGTGCTTACAAGAAAAAGATCAGAACACAGGATACAATGCAATGCATTTTACAATGGTGAACTGTTCCCAGCAATGTGAAGCTGTGAGTACTCTTAAAACACACGAATGATGCAATTTGTGAGCTCAACTACACCATAAGTCACAAGTGAAGACTTTGCTAGTCCTGTTTGCTAAGTAAGAATTTGAGAACTTAACAGTGATGAGTACCTTGAGTCTCCAGGATTCTTTTGAAAGGTAATTTCTAGCAGCATATGTGTTTACAAAACACCTTTTTTCCTTTTTTTGTTGTTTTCCTTTCTTTCCAGCATCAAATATACATTCCTTCCTCCAGTCACCATACTTGTTGTGGTACCTGTCAAGACATGTCCTGCTCTTTTCACACTGAGAATGGAACACTAATCATGTATGAGGTAAGGACCTCTGGACAGAGATAGGAAGTAACTATAATGATACAGGTGTCTGACAGTCGCTTCTTAGTTAAGTCATGCTGTGAGCCTTGCTTCATACCTCCTTACTGCTGGTTACACGCTCAGGAACTATTTATGGTATATGATGGGAAAAAAGTGTGTTATTTAAAGACCTGCTATTTCACACTAGGTGAATACCTTGTTTAATTTTATTTGGTGCAAGATTTTCTGCAAAGATATATAAATATCATCATTTACTTCAGGCTAGGCATGTTTTAAGTGCAGGGTAGGGTTGAAATTGTAACTCTAAGTCATATAAGGTGATCTAGATGCATTGGGAGCTTCTAAGTCTGCATCAGAATTTCTATGTCCCCCTCTTCCCAGGGCCACTCTTCTCCTCATTCTGGTTTCTACAGAAAGCAAGTGTGCAAACTGAAGCACTGGGGTTTAGGATCCTCACGGTTTGTTCCAGCATTCATACAAGGAAATCTAGATATGGTCATGACTTGGTTCATGCTTCCCATTGCTTTTAGAACAAGGCTTTTTTTCTGGCACAGAGTCCTTTTGGTCTGCACTAGTACACCAATGCTGAGCCGTGTTCTGGAGAGTAGAACTGTGCCTCCAGGGAGGAGTAGTCATTGGTAGTTAGAGGATGGTCTTTGCCGCCTGTAGGTGGTCTGCAACAAGCTTTTCACTCCAGTAGGTACTACCGCATGAGGGGACCACTTTCACAGATGTTTTGGGTTGGAGATAAAGCCAAAATGTTTTGTATTTCCTGACAATGGTCTTGATGTATACATTCAGGAAGGCAGCACCTGGACCTCCAACTGCACTAACTACAAGTGTGCAAAGACTGCTGCAGGGGCTGTCATACTGGGATCAAGTGTTGTCTGCCCCCCTTTTAATGACACCGAGTGTACAAAGGTTTGTACTTTGGTTGAGGTAAGTGACAATAACTGACCTGGAGTCAGTTATTATTGACTGGACCTTGACAACACATGCATACTTCATACACTTTCTTTAAATTAAAAAAGTGGTAAGTAAAAACATGTAAGAGAGCAATTTACAGTCTTGTTTTGACAGAATACCTGTGAGGAGTACAGAAGTTTGTTTGGGTACTAACAACAATGACTGCTCTTAAAATACTGTGGAATAGGAATTATACTTGATATTTCACTATACACAGTGCTAATCACTATGGTTTACTTTAGTTTGGAATAACACTTTGCCCAGTTCGTAGTATATATACACTAAATAAATTGGATCAAGCAATTCAGAAATGCTGCATATAAAAGAGGGCAATATTAAAAATTCCTGCAGTTATGCAAAGATTAGGAAGATGATAGAGTATACATAAACTTTATTATCTTTTTAACTAAACATTGTATAACATAAAAAAATTAAATAATTATCTAGCATACATGAATGGGCATCTACCTACATCGTATACCTGAAAATGTAAATTGGGCACAACCATAAAAACTGTTTTGAAGAATGCGAATGCTTCATGTATATTACATATTTTTTACAATTTAATTTCTAATTTAATATTTCTCTAGCTTCACATTTCTTATAATTCTTGCACTTGCAGTATGCCGTATATTTAATGTAAGCTACAAATAATAATAAAAGAAATATACATGCAGAAATATACATGTAGAAATATACACGTAGAAATGTATGAGAGATGGTAGTAGCACTGCTGCCTTGACTACAGAGTATAAATTTAGCACAGTCCTACTTATCCACTCCATTTGTTTAAGAGTCCTTATTTCTTGCAGTCCTGAAGAAGGCATTCTATCTAAAATTAATGTCTGCTCTACTTTGACTATGCTCCAGTTTCTTCCTTGGAACCCTTTTGTCACCATCTATTAGGATCTTTCCTTAGTAATAACCATTAAGATTTTAAAGAATGGAGCCCTAAAATTAATTTTCTGAATCATTCTGAGCTGTTTTTCAGAGATGCTGAGTATAGACTTGAACAGTAGATGAGGAGAAAACTCTTCTGTCAGGCAGCTTAGGACAATTTAGGAATATGGAGGCTGAGTTTAAGTGCTCATTTAAGAAGTCCTTGAACAACTTATTCAATATTTCTCCTGTAATGAAATAAAAAATGCATTCTAGCCTGAAAAGACTGGAGCTTAACAATGTCTTTAGCCTGTTGTTACCGTAAGAGTGCTATTTATGTTCAGTTGTCTGTTTGATATGTGGTTCTGGGCTATGCACTAAAATTGTGGGTGCCTGTTTCTTGCTTGTTCCCATTCTGTCGGATCCTGACAGTGCCTCTTTCTTTCTCCCTCTCGCACTCCCTTTTAATCTCAGAAGGACATTTTCTTCACTTTCATACATTTTAACTTTTAGCTAACAGGCATCTTCAGCAAAAAAAAACAGTAACAAAGACTATAACTGAGAAAAAGAATTGAACACATCAATGGTTCTGAAATTCTGCAGTTAAAGTTCTCTTTCAAAAGTGTGTATATATGCATATATATATTTAATATTGTAAAAAGCTACTTATTACGTATTAATTTTTTCCTTAGCATATCCCTGGAAATCCTTTTACATCATCAGCAAAGTTGCACACCTCAGGTTTTTGAACTGTTCTAATAAATTTTGGCATGGGGAAATAGATGGAAGTGGATAATATAAAAAGTTTCTTATAGAAACTCAGTGGCTTAGTCAAAGACACTAGATCAGATCAGATGTGCAGCAATGAGTTCAGTTGCAGTGTCAAAGGCCATAAAGAATTTGTGAACCAAGCCTCCAGCTCATACATCTCTCTGTAATTCTCTTGATTTCAGCGATGCTACTTTTTATTAGTTGGACATCTTTAAAACATGGAATATATTGAGATAAAATTCACCTTTGTATTGGCCACTGTTTTTTGCTATATTCTTTTTTTATTTTCCTAGAACGGAGGAATTGTGCAGATGTATAATGATGGCTGCTGCAAGACCTGTAAGTAAAAAAGGCTGCAATATGTGCTTAGTTTGGCTTTGGTTTTGGAGGGCTTGTTTTTTAACCTCACTTGCTGGGACATAAAGAAGGAAAAAGCATGCAGTCCCCCCATAAATCACATAAAATTGTTATAGTTACCTAACTACTCCTATTAAAAGGTTTTGCTTCACTTGGCTGCTGACATGGTGATCTTTATTGTTCTGGAGTATAACCAAATCCCTCCAAATATAATCTTCTGAAGATCAGAAGTTATCTCAATTAAAATAATGAAAAGATTTTAATTTTCTTTACAGTTTTGACAAGAAGAGTTTTTATTATCAAGGTACTTAATTATGTGTACATAAAAATAAAAAACTGTTGTGTAAAGCTAATTGTGCAGAGCAAAAGTCTGTGGAATGCCACAGGAAACCCTCCCCTCATTTTTGTCCTTTCTTGTGTTCAACATTGGAGTTAAAATATAAAAGGAAATTAGTCTTTGGTATTTTTTTAGACAAACCTTTACTTAATAATATTGCATAGGAAGTCACAGACTTATAACCATATACTGCACAGTTATTAAATATAATTCAGAAGTGAAATGAGTTGTAAATAATTTGTGATATAAGAGGAAATATTAATATTTACCAAATACACAATACTCAAGTTTCCAAGTTATGCAATGATTTGAAAGTGAACTGCAATTATTGTTGCTCTGTTGTATCCAAACCTTAGAAAATAAAAGCTATCTTAATACAACAGAATATATTTTTGTTTGAATGAGAATTGGCACAGAAGAGTAACACACCAGAATTGTACTAAAATCTTACTAATTATTGTTTCTTTAATGAGATAAGTTACATTTAAAAATATTTAAATATACCCCCCCACCGAAATTAGGTTGGATTTAAAGCATAAAGAAGTAATGGCTACTGATTTTCTGTTGATCAAGAAGATTTATAATTTTGGCCGTATTCTGTGGCCTCAGGAAAGGCATCGTTATACTTCAGAAATACTTGCTGAGTTGGCTGCTAAAACCCCAGATATAATTAATACAATTATATGTTATCTTAATTTTATTTTCTTTTTAACTAAAAGCATGTGCCCTGTGGTGAAGCAGTTAAAAAGAGTACTTATAAATAGAGCTTGGGGTTTTAATGGGAACAAAATAATCTTTCTGAAAGTTCTTGATTCAATGCATGTAAAGTGAGTGCATATATTTAATTCTTACCTTGCCATAGAGAGACTCATTGCAAAAGTTTGATTTACAAGGAAGCATCATTCCAGTTTTGTGTTAACCAGGGGGGAAATAAAGTTTAAGCCATCTTTAGCAAGACTTGAAGTAGCTGCAAAGTTTTCAAATTTGGTACACTAACAGGAAAGCTCATTGTTTTTTGCTAAAAGAAAAATTGCAGTTGGCAGTGTAAGAATTAATGAAATGTCGTTTAAATAAAAATGTTTTTGTTTCACAAGAAACTTAATATTCCTAATGATTCTGCCAGGTTCTGGATTGGGTCTATTACCCTTTGCCATTAGTCCAGTAGTGCCTACTCATAGTATTAATTGTGAACCAGGTATTATTTTTAATAACATTATTTTCTTTTTTTTTCTAATAATAGTGTAAGCACTGCTTGATATACGTGTATAGCTGGCATCACATTAAATATCACCATTCAGTTAATGGTACTGTGCCTGATACTGAGAGATGCTGACTCCCTGTTGGTGTCCCAAATCAGCGGTGTCCTAAAGTCCGGTCAGGGTTCACTGTTCAGCACCTGTCAGAATCAGGTTCATCCATTTATGGTACATGCTGCTGATAGTTCTTGTTCATTTCTGAAATTGGTTTTAATACTGTACAGGGAGGTTGTAATTAGAAATGATATACTTTAAATATTATTATTATCCTGAATACTGTTGCCAAGAGATTCTAAATTTGATCCCAGATCACTAATTTAATGACTGAACAGTTTTTGCCTTAAAGTAGAGCAAGACTGCCCAATTTATCTGTGCAGATATGGATTCATTCTGTATTTCTTTTGTCACAAACATCACGTTCTCACAAAGTTATGAAAATGGGGTGGGGGGAGGGAGGGAGGGGGAGAAACATACAATTACAGCCATACATTAATAAATAATATACACTAGGAATTATGGAATATTACAGAATTGTTGCATTATGATCATAATTTGTTGCTTTTAAAGATAGATAAGTCACAGAAACTCTTTAATCAAATAAGGAGTAAAAAAACCACACCTGCTACAGAATGCAGATTCTTTTGACAGTTGAAACTGGGAAAGAAAAAAGCATAATAGCAGAGTTTTCATTAGACATCAGCACCTTATACACCGAAAAGTGATGTATCCCTATATGAGTCGTAGAAGTACAAAGACTGCATTGTCAGCACATACTAATGCTGGCAAGCACTGTCTGATGGAATTATCATGGGACTTCTTTTTCTTATGTGCTACTGAGAAGGAAAACCCAAGATATTGTGGGCTAACAGCTTCGATAGTACAGTGGTGTACTAGCTCAGCAGCAGAATCTTATTTGATCCTGCAATGCACACATTAAAATCTAGCTGTGCTCTGCAGCCAGCCTAATTTTTAAATACCCACTGGAGCTGTGGGTGCAGGATATCCCTGGTCACTCAGAGCTCATTTATCTTGTAAAAGAGCTCACAGTCTTCTGGAGAACAGAAATATTGCTCTTTTCTGAGTGCACCCATCCATGAAGGCAAGTGCAGCAGGTAGAGAAACTCTGCTGGATGGTGCTTACTACTTGAGATGTTGGTTGTCCAAAATAGTTGCATAGCAAAACTAATAGGTAATTTTGATGGGAAGTGAAATAGGAGATCTAAGTAACTGCTGTTACAGAAGCAGAAGTAACAGTCTGGTATGGAGTGCAGCATGAAATACTGTATGTTTAATTGTGTCAGTCTTATAACTTTTATTGTGTTAAAAATGGCTTTGCAATGTACAGATTTGTTTTTCAAATAAAAGGAAAATCCTCCTATCAGTATCTCCCAGAATGCACTTTAAAATTTCCCTAATCCTAGATCCATATGCTGACTCAATACTACATGCTTCAGTTCTGGTGGTAAAAACTGCACCATATTTAGCAAATATATGCATCTCTCTCCTTCAAAACTTCCTTCTTCATCTTTCTCAAAAATATATGGCATGATAGTATTCTATTTAAATTTTAAACATTCAAAATAACATCACGGTTGTAATCACATTTACAACTCTACCTTCTCAAATGTTAAGTTCTGAAAATTTTCTTAAATGCAGAATTAAAATATTGTTTACATTCAATATTCCTATTAAAAAAGAGTTAATTTTAATACTATTAAAAATTATTTATGACATCTTTTTTCCAATTGCTTATATTTGTCCTGCCATAAGTGTAATTTAAAATCGTACTACTATTTTAATATTTATAAAATCTGTTTAGCTTAACGGGCCAATTGATGCTTCATATGTGCACCTAAAAAAATGATAATTCTGCACAGGAAGTATTCCTTTTGCTTAAAAATAATTCAATTATGGAAGTCCTAGTTTCACACTATTGAAAACAAAGTATATTTTTTGAATATAGCTTCACTTTTTTTTAGTAGCAAATGCAGTACAAAAAGTGTATTGATTCAGTATGCATTTTATGTATTTTATCAGGCAAAAAGGAAGAAAGGATTTGCCAGAAAATAACAATCAGGACAACCATAAGAAAAAGTGACTGTATAAGTCAAAGCCCGGTAAGCATAGAAGACCCGTGATGCTGGGCCTATGGCATACCAAATCAAGTATTAAGTGGGTTATAGCTCTCAACAAGCAACAAAAAAATGCTGCTATCTTCTCAGAAGCAGACCTTTGACCCTAGGAATGTTATCCTACTTGTAAATGGAGTAAAATTAGCTGTTCCTATTGGCTGAAGGCCTGAGCCCTCCCACCTGGAAAATCATCCGGCTTCAAATGAAAAGTACACAGCATAATTATAACTCACATGGGCATTGAACTCTTCACCATGAAATAACATCCCACTCTAAAAGAGGAGTAGAAATTCTTTCACTTAGGATGTGATTTCTCTTTGAATTACTGCTGCATTCCTCTTTGAAGACCTTTAATCTCTGGGTGTCTTCTCCTCCACATAGCATGTGTCTCCATATCGTAAATTCACGATGGCATTTATTTATGGGTCTGCTTAAGACAACTTTTTTCTCAGCTTGGGTGTAGCCACATCTACAAAGCATGTCCAGGCAGCAAATGTGCTTCTCATGTAGCACTTACAGGAGAAGCAATCGGCACAGTATCTCTATACTTCCAAAAGGCCCCTGGTAAGACTGTTGAAGAACATATACAGTCATAAAAGGCAAAATATCATTAGAAATTGAAAGCTGAGCAGGTTAATTTACATCTTGACAGAAGGTCAGCAGTGACATTCCCAAAATTTAATAGTAGAAGTAAGAGTGTGTGGTGTATTTATTTAGTTTTAGAAAGAGGACTAGTAATGAGAATTTAACTGTTCAGGAGTGAACATGAATTTAGCTGTGCTCTTTTGAAGTTATTAAATTGTAAACTAGGGATTCAGTTTTGGTATACACAGCACAACATTTGGGTCAAGCTTAAGACAGAATACATGGTTAAATAACAACAACAAAATTTAATTTAAAAGAAAAATATATTAAAAATGTGTCTACCCTTAGAATGAATGCATTTTAGAAGATAAAATAATTTTCAAATTAAAAATGAGTTTTTATCACAAAGAAGTTTGAAATGCAATATCCTTGTAACAAAATTTGAGATGTCTAATTTCAGTTCTTATTATACTCCTAGATAAATGTGGCTTCTTGTGATGGAAAATGCCCATCTGCAACAATCTTCAATGTCAATATCGATACCCATTTAAGATTCTGTAAATGTTGTCGAGAAAATGGAACGCGTAATCTGACTGTGCCACTACGCTGCTCAGGAAATGGCACTGAAATTATGTATGTCGTTCAAGAGCCTATAGAATGCTCATGCCAATGGAACTGAACACTACTGTGGATATGATTTCATCTGTAGAAGTAAAAGGAGTTTCTTTTCACCAAACTTTTTTTGATGTTGGATAACTATAGTACAACCGCAGGGATAAAAAAAACAGATGTGCTCAGTTCTGCTTTATAATGCAATTTTTCACAGATTTAGTAAAGATGATGTTCTACGTTCTTCACATTTTCTTTTGAAGTACTGGCATATATAGAAAGAAAAATATAAATAATTTTGAAAAAGGTATAATTTAGCCATCATTTATTTCTACTCAGTGGGCTTTCTGACAAGCTGTTGAAAGCTGGTTAAGGCCTGTTTCCAGTTGGATTGTGGCTATCTATTAAAGTTCAGAATTTCTCAGTGGTTCTTTTCCTTGTACTCAGAAACTTCTTGTTGTGAACCATCATTGCTCTCATGTTTAAATGGGAGTTTGATAATGACTGAATAAAATAGTGGGTTAAACCGAAACATTTTTACCTTGCAGAAAAGTCTATATTTTGTCCATTAAACTGTTGTCATTGAGGGGACTATGCTTACACTGTAAGTCACAGAGAAACAACATGACTGTGGTCTGTAAGTACCTGTAGTAAATCTCCAGAGCATATAGTAGAAGCATAATAATGTCTTTAAACTTGAGACATTAATTTAATTTTTATAAATATTATACATGTGAAGCATGACTAGCCAAAGGCTGAAGAGTTCAAGCTTTTGTGCCTTTACGAAAAATACCTGAAAGCTGTTTCTGAGATGAAGGATTCTATTTTATATCCACTTATCAGCTTTCGCAAATAAGAAATTGGCTCTATACTAGCTGTAGAATAAGATTCTATGTATATATATTTATTTAAAAAACGGGATACTGCACATATTAACTATTCATAAGGGGTTTCTTCCTTTGTTTTATAGGATCATAGAATGGTGTAGGTTGGAAGATCATCTAGTTCCAACCCTTGTGTTGTGGTCAGGGAGACTTTCCACTAGACCAGTGTCCTGGGTTCAGCAGTAGCAGTCATTTTTCTCAAAGCCCCATCCAACCTGGCCTTTCCAGTTCGAACATTTATGTTGAGTATATTTTTATAAAATACTTAAGAATTTTTTTTGGTTTTTTTTTGTTTTTTTTTGTTTTTAATACTGAAATTTGGACTCAACTTAATTTAGGATTCATCATTTTTGAGTCCAGGCAAAAAAAATATCCAGGTGAAAGTTATGTTTTGAAGGGCTTTCATGAGCTATTCATGTTCAATCAGATGGTGAATGTCCATGATTGGGCATCTTAAACTGAACATATTCTCTCTTTTATTAAATGCATTACATAACCTTATCTTAAAAACTAAGGATACAGTTTTCGGCTTCGTTTTAGAACATTACTTTGCTTTATAAACTTGCTGAATGAAACTGATTTAAATGCTGACAGTATTTTCCTTACCATGCAGATAGTTTCAGGATTAAAATTCTTGTTTAAAAGTCTGAAAACTTTTTGACAAACAGTTTTTATTTCAAGCTGTCATCATTCAATTACAAAAATTTGGGTTATCAAATTGGTTTATACAAAGAAAAATAATAAAAATAAAAAATTCCAAGGCTATTTTACTACTTTGTGTGACAAATCTTTAAACATTTGCTGTATTTGGTTTGATGGCTTAAAAAGAAAAATAGCATGTACAGTGATATAATCCATCTTAACCAACAATATTGTCATCTCCTCATCCGTCTCCTTAGAAATAGTGACTTGGTTTAAAAATTAAAGAACAATCCATTGTATTATCAGTAAAAATATTTAACCATTATAAAGAAACAGTGATCACCTAGCGATCCAAATAAAGTGCTGTTCTGAGAAAGCATCTGCTTCATTTGTGTGTTTTTATTATTTGTAACAGGAAATATTTCAAGTTGTGTTACAGACTACGGCCTTGAACCAAAATATTCTCTGATGTTACTGTTGGAATTTGTGTACAGCAACTTTTCATGCAGCCAGGAATGGAAATTAATCAGTCATAGCTGTAAAGTTTGTGTACTCATGCAGCAAATTAAAAGGATCTTTTGATTTATGAACAGAGAGATAGTAATCCTATATTTACATCAAGACAGGTTGGCCCAAAAATTCTTAATGAAATTAGCATTTGATAAACTACTTAAGGAAGCTGCTGCAGAATGGGACTTTTCCATATAATGACCAAACTCTTGATATGCTTTGATTAAACAGCTGTGCTTTTTATAAGCAATGTGCTTTTCTAAGATTTAGAACTGTAATGTAATTAAAGAGAAATTAATAAACAATATTTTGCAGACTAATAGATGTTGATGCAATTACTTTACCTGTGCCACTGAAGATGAAAATCATAGATGAACCTGGAAATTATTAAGGCAATTATGCTTAAAATTAACTCCACAATAACCTGTAATAGTATTTATTAGTTAATTGTTTCCCATTTACCCAATTTGTATTTTTAAGTGCAACAATCAGCCAGATATAATTGTGTCAGCATCCTCTCTGAAATCTACAGTAAAATCTCACGTTTTCAGTGGAGCTGGATATGGTATAAGATTGCCTTTCATTTTACAATTAAACTTCAAATTCAGACTGCTTTGGCCTGGTTAAACCTTGGGAACCTTTTTCTGGCCAGCCATCCCACCCCCATCACCTCCACGAAGGTGACATTGGCATGACATGGTATGTTTTGTAGAATGTGAACTAGCCCTCAGGGCCTTTGCAACAGAGAGAAGGTTTGAATCGAACTGCAGTGTAGCAGGACTGCTCTGCTCCAAACGTTTTTTCCATTTGTAACTTAAACGTAGATGCAGTTTGTGGTTCTGCTTTGGTTTCTTCCTCTCTCTTCAATGGTGCATTCCTGCCTGAACCCTCAGGCTTGAATTACGTGTAACCCAGCTTGGACAGGCACCCTGTGAGCTGCTTTGGAAAGCCGATCCAACTCAAACTAACCTAGTTAAATATCAAAATTAATTAGTTTGCTCATTATTGACTGAAAGAACTTTAATACCCACAGAGCTCCCTCCCTTCTACCCCCGCTCACATAAGCTCTGCTCCTCTAAAACAAAAAGGCTGGGAATGCATGCCTCTCTCAAACTCCCACGCTGCCACTGGAAAAGGCAAGGAACTAGGGAGAAGCTGTGTGCACAGCCACATGCTTGCCTTATGCTCCAGTCTGCTGAGTCCTGCCAGTTCCCCCATCCATACCTGGCTCCACCTGTCCTTCATTCCTACATTTCCACTGCTTGGTTCTCCTACTTGCCCTTGCAAAAGGAATTCCTCAGAACAAACGCTTACCCATAAAACTATGCAGATTTTTTAGGGAATAATGTAAATATATTTCTATACTTAGACTGTAAGTGAATAAGCCTCTGTAACACAGTAAGGCTTTCACTATATTACTTATAATATTTGGCTTCTATAGTTCCATTGCCTTATTACCAGGCCATTTGTTAAGACCAGTTCTTGTCCCAGTATGCAATTACAATTTGAGGCATGTTTTTAAATATTGGGTTTAAGTCACTTACTGTGTGTTTTCCTTAATAAAATCCAAGGCCTAGAGTATAGCTATACAGTTAGCTAACAGTCTCATTTTTTAGCTAGCCAAATCTGTATACTAAATATCAAAGTAGAACTTAATATATTTGCATTATTTATTGTATAGTTCTTTCCATCTCTATCTTTTTTTCTTCCATTTCTCCTTTTATAAAGATTTAACGGACAAATCCAACATCTAAATATTATAGAAGTTCACTTTTGTGTAAAAACTTAATGCCAAATAAATGTGTGGGCACCCATCAGGAATATTGTGGCAGTGGGAAACACTGACTTGATAACCTTGAGGTTGTACTGCTGGTGTGATCATGTACAGGTGCATGTCCTACAGAAAATCCCACAGCCATGTGTTCTATTACAGGGGACAAAACATAAACGAGTTGTCACACGTAACCGTAGCAATATAGCAATCGTGGAGGAGCAGAAGGCCAAAACCATCAGCCGAAATTTCTTACAGTTACAGTGGGATATTGGTACTGCATTTCCCAGATCAGGTTGGATTTCAGACTCCCAACCATTATGGGAATATATTTTAGCTAAGCATTCACAAAGTGAATGTGAAAAGTCTTTCAAGGGACAGACTTTAACACTTAAGATTAATGCAAAAGAAGAAAGGCTTTCACTGAGGAAAGGTGATGGTTGAGAGGGTCTCTATGTAACCCTGTGTACCAAGTTTTCTCTAAGCTTTCTTTAAATGCCAAATAGAACGTGCAAGCTACCTACAGGACAAGGAAACTCAAAAATTTATCAGGCCGTTGTCATTAACAAGTCACCACAGTTTAGGGTGGAAGGGCATATTCTGAGCTGATGAACCATGAACCCCAGCAACTGCAAATAAGATTTATTGCCTAGTCCTTGGCAGCCACATACTGACCGTTTTCAAAAAACCTTTTTTTGCCTATTCTGACAAGTAATTGTATAGACCTTTTAGGTGGTCATACGCCTATCCAAATCAGTGGTGAATGATTCTCTAAGATCAAAGATTTGAGAATCTCACTCAAAGGAGATAGTCTAAAAAATACATATATGTAGTTTCTACTTTCACAAGAAGCTTTTGTATGCAGAACACGGCAATGTGAAAGAGCTTCTTCTGTACTGATGCTGCATTCTGGGGAAAACCAGCAATGAACAATGTTAAAAATCGTGAGAACTGCTGAGTAAAAGGAAGGAGTTCTCTTTTGGGAGTGTTCTTTGCTGAGTAAAAGGAAGGAGTTCTCTTTTGGGAGTGTTCTTTTGATTAAGGTGGAATGTGCCATGCACACTTAATTTGGTGAGATCAAAAGAGAGATGCCTCCCGCAGTTGCCTTGAAAACCGCCTCATTAATAAAGCCTCCCTTTGTGCTCGGTGATCACAAAGTGCTCAGGAAACAAACAGTGTATCTGCCCTGTAAAACAGCTGAACGGGCACAGCTTTCTTCTGGCCTTGATAGCTACAGTAGCCGCTGGCAGGCTCCTACCTCCACGCCGTGGCCTCACTGCGGGCAGCAAGAGCGCGCCACTGCGCTGCCGCCTCCGGCAGACCCTTCCACCTCGGGCTGGGGAGCCCCGGGGAGCGGTACTGCACCTCAGAGAGCGGGACATAAGCGGAACTGTACGGGTTCGAACCCCTGAGGCAGCTCCGCTGGTCATGAGGGGACCCGAGGCCCGGCAGCTAAAGCCCCGCCACACGGTGCTGGCCGCTGCCTAAGGAACCCGCTGCTCCCCGTTCCCGCCTCCACCCTCCCTCCGGGCAGAGAAAGCACGTAGGAGGAGAGGAAGGCGGGCGAAGCGGAGGTGCTGCCCAGCCGCAGTGCGGTGTCTGCCGGCTCCGGGACAGGAGGGCGGCCTCTCCCCTGACGGGAGGGCTCGCAATGCGGCTCATGGGCTGTGATAGCCGCCACTGTCCGCTCCGGCCTGCTGGGCTCTGGGCTTCCCCAGCGCCTCC